CTTTATTTGCTAAGATGAATTACCTACATGGCAGTGTTGTATTATAAATCATAGAATGGCTGGGCACGACTAATTTTTTTTTAAGTATTCAATTCGCCGGAGCCAATAATAGTATGATATTGGCGAAGCCAATATTGTATGTTATTGGCGGAGCCTTCGACTGGAAAACGGGAAATCTCCCGTTCACCATCCGAAGTCTAGTGGCGGCCGGCGAATAGACATTTTGTGATACTGGCGATACTGGTTTCTGCTTCCCAGAACCAATTTCGCGCAACAGTGTCAATGCTGTGTTGTTGCTCATATACATTTGTGAAAATTGACTATTTTGTGAATGAAGAATTGAAAGACTAGTATTGCTTTGATCAATTATTTTCTAGAACATACTGTTCCAAAAAAGCTATACAGTTTGTTCCATTTTGCTTGTTTTGATTTTGTGTCATTTGTTTGCTTTGCTATGGATGCCCTAACAGGGTTTTGTATGCCCGGTATCCAAACCTTTTGGCTTTTATTAATGGAGTCGTGCCCATAAAATGCCAAAGATAAACTAAGACATTACTCAGTGAGATAAATTACATATGCCACTATGTATGACTATAAAATAAAATTAGTTAAAGTATGATATTGTTTTGTTGTTGTCCCTAATAATGATGACTATTTCTATAGAATAGTCTCTGTTATTTGGGGAACAACTTATACCCTGCCCTGGTTATGACGTAGGTACTGTATCTACGTCATATCCTTTTAACGCTGGCGTCGAATATTGTAACAAGGAAGAAATGAGTTGTTGAAAAAACCCACCCGCCCTCCTCGTCAATTATGAGTGTGAAGTGTCAAAGATTTGAGCTTAAATTTAATACTAGTGTCATGCTTGTTTTGTTGTTTCTGTCCTCTTTTGATGTTTTCAGATTAGCCAACATAAGCGACGTGTTTCAAGACAGCTAGCCCTACTAAATACCACGGAAGAGGTATCTTTTAGGAAAACTGCTTGGGCCAAAACCACCAGTAGAGAGAATTCGACAACGGTGCGACTCCAGAGATGTGTTCTATGAACTTTCAAATACTAGATTTCACATGTTGTGTCTGCTAAATTTGCATTTTGCGGCCGGCGAATAGACATTTTGTGATACTGGCGATACTGGTTTCTGCTTCCCAGAACCAATTTCGCGCAACAGTGTCAATGCTGTGTTGTTGCTCATATACATTTGTGAAAATTGACTATTTTGTGAATGAAGAATTGAAAGACTAGTATTGCTTTGATCAATTATTTTCTAGAACATACTGTTCCAAAAAGCTATACAGTTTGTTCCATTTGCTTGTTTTGATTTTGTGTCATTTGTTTGCTTTGCTATGGATGCCCTAACAGGGTTTTGTATGCCCGGTATCCAAACCTTTTGGCTTTTATTAATGGAGTCGTGCCCATAAAATGCCAAAGATAAACCAAAGACATTACTCAGTGAGATAAATTACATATGCCACTATGTATGACTATAAAATAAAATTAGTTAAAGTATGATATTGTTTTGTTGTTGTCCCTAATAATTTCATTTTATCCTTGTGAACATAAATGCTTAGAAATTTAGACTGTATTGCATAAATACTATGTGCTGTTTACAAAAGTTAATCCGTATACATTGTATATCATTTGAATAAAAATAGTAATGATTTTAAAGGGATACTCAGGCAGAATAAAGACAAAAATATAAAAATTATCTTCTGTACTCAAATCACACTAAAATGACATTTCTTTAAGTCCCAGCATGAATTTCTGTATACATTCTATATATTTTGGGTTTGAAGCTTGAAAATAACTATATATGTTGTACGAAATTTAGACGCCAACAGAATCCCCGAATAGTTAAAAAACAAGTCATGTGATTTGAACAAACCCTGGAAGTTACAATAACAGGTGTGGATATTGTATGATTGAAATAAGTCTAAGTAATTGATTGGACATGTACTTTAACGTTTCCAGAGTACACAGTGACAACTATTGTTAAATCTTAGTGCTCTAACCTGACCCACGCGGGTCAAGTTAGGAAAACACCATTTTATTCTTTACATGGAGCAAAGTTTTGTTTCTTTGACTGTTTAGTGTATTTATTTTGAGGACATTTACAGAATAAATAATGAAAAATTCAAAACTAAGATATGAAAATTTTGCCTGTGTCTCCCTTTAAAGTTTAATTTGAAATAAACAAAGTTATTAAATGTAGAAAACGCTGCCGTTTTGACTGCCACAATTATTGTAAGTAAATGTATATTTTAAGTTAAATCTTATGTTCATGATGACTGCTTCAAAATAGATTGTAAGTATTTGCCTAAACCTGAACCAATCAAATTAGATTGGCAGTAAATTGATTATGTCAGTACTGATGTCAGGTTTCTGTTCTTGTAACGATGTAGCACCTGTTTTGGCTCTATTTCCCCTTTGAATATTCATTGAAAATAAAACCCTGATAAAAATCAGAACTTCATTAAAGTTTTCTATTACTTTTGTGCGCTCTATCTCTGATATCGCAATATTTCTGATTATAAATTTGTTCTATTAGCTTAAAGACACAAGTATTTGTTCAAAAAGTAATCAAGAAAACATCGAGAAAAGGAAGATTGTTATAGAGCAAATACTGGTAAAGTATCTTAATCAGGTGTGTGCAGGTTAATGTGATGCTGAAGGATCATTTATTTATTTTAAATCTTCCCCTCCTTCAAAAATGTTAGAACTGGTACTGCCGAATAATATTTAAACATTTTTTATTTTTATCTGGCATTCTTAAATGGTGACTGGTTTCCTACACGACCGAAATAAAGATGATAACCTTTAATGTCTAATGTCGATAATGTACGAGTAGGATTTATCTAATGACATTTTTGACACAACTGATCATCTTAAATAAATGTTGACTGACACTTTGACGTTTCAAAAGCTTGGATTGTTTCATGTCCTTGCGGCCTTATCAAACTGCATCGAGGGTAAACTATCTAAAATGTGAAGAAGCATTGCACAACATAGTCCCATGAATCAGAACAAGCACAGAAGTTCCAGTCATGACCTTGTGACTAGCAAAATGCTAAAACAACTTACTAGGTTGATTTAGTTTTTCACTCTTAATTTTTAGATACATAGAATAAATGGCTTACCACTACCGTCCACGAATACGGTTCAATAAAACCGAGTCTGCATTGTTTTCAATATCCTATTATTGTCGTATCATCGATGTTTGTATCGTGCGGATCTGTACAATATATTGTTGCGTACAATCAGGGATGTAATATTTCCGATTCTTAAAAATCTTCTATTTGATGTTTTAATTGTTGGGTGACTTCAGTATGACCTTTGTTGTGATATGAATGTTTCATAAAATAGTGCCCCTTAAAATTCCATTTTATTTAGTCCCGTTCTTTGTTTTCTTGTCGTCACGCATTCTTTAACTTCGGGATCATGCACCGCTATTCGTGGAATGGAAAGAATACTTTATAGTCACCGCTGTATGACGAATGCATTTGCGGATGTTAGTTTACGACTTTCATGTTTTTTTTTATCTGCTTAAGCCGATGCTAGTTAATGGCAGCTTACACAAACCACAATCGTCCTTGAACAGTTTTACTGCCAAGAAACAAAGTACATGTAATAACAATGTTTCAGCCTCCAAAACAGTTTCCATTAATATATTAATACCATTTAAGGGTAACGGTGGCCTGCTGATTAAGGTGTCGGCCTCTCAACCTAGAGATCACCTAAGGTGATTAATATAAGTTGCAAAAACTTGTTTCGCAATCGAGCTTAAATAAATTTGTTTAAACCAATGTAGCCATAGAAATAAGAGGAAAATTGATTTTGTATTAATAAAGATTCTTAAGGCTGTTTTCTCTTTTTTAATTTGTAACCTGTATGTATTACAGATAAATATATATTAGCTTTCGATAAAATCTTTTTAAAATAATGAAATTGTTTTAATCAGGAAATATTAATTAATAAGAAATGTATTAATCTATTCACAGTCAAATACATTTTGTATTTGTTAGTATCTAACAATTTTTAATAGAAGGGAAGTAAGACAGAGTAAAGTCCTTTCTCCAAAGTATGTAAAATTTCTGTATATTTCGTTCGTAAATGTGTATCCATCCTATTTGAACCTGATTTATTCAGGGAGACAGTATGGTTATATAACAGAATAACAGGGTCTTGATAACACAGTTAACACAAGTCATAACCAGACAAAACCAAAATGAGGAACACCAAGTGAGCTTTCGGAGTATTGTATTTGTTACCTCCCTTGATCATCTCTATAATGAAAACTGAGTTTTGCCACTGGTTGTACACATATGCAAAGGTATCTAACAATTTGTTTAAAGTAGTGTCACGAAGAAAAATGGTCGGATTTTGTATGTTTTGAAAAATAAATATGTTATAAACTTTGAGGAATTTGAATGAATACTACAATGTTTTCCTGCGTTGACGTATTGTCAGGCAGTTGACTAACATTGGCCATACCTGTTATGGGTCTTCTTTTTTAAAATATTTCTTGCATTTTCGAATAACTTTAGTCTTGTTTAAATACGCATTTACTGATTTGCCTTTAGGTGTAGCAACTTGACTGGATGAACTATGACTTGTGAAAATATTGCAAACATTACCTATTGGACTCTAATGATCTACTTTGCAATGTATTGTTCATTGCCAGACTTGGTTGATTTAAATTGAAGTGAAGTTTTCGTTTGAGTTAAATATTAAATCTAATCACCATTGGTGACATTTACTTACATGTATAGCTACTCCGTAATCTCAATTTAAAATTATTTGGCGAAGGAACTTTCAGTTCCTAAATGCATATTTGAACAGTCCTTTCTCGTTTGTTTTTGCATTATGACCTAGAGCATGTGCAAAATAGCGTAAAGGTGTTCAAATGTTTTTCAAGAAGCTGCCCGTGAATGAACTATAGAGTCATTTATAAACAGATTAAATTGTTTGTTTTTAAGGGAACAAAAGGAAACAGCTTATCCAACAGAACAACTTTTTTTTACAAATATTTTTTCTTTCAACATTTTGAACTTTTAAACAGATTTAACAAATACAGTTGAGCAAAATAAAGAAACAGAATACTATGAAAATCTACTAGTATATTGTTTTCTATGACTGTAGTCTTGACTAAACTATATTTTAGTGTCCATAATGTGACGGTAATACTGTGTTTTATAAAATGAGTATATCACAATAAATAAGATTGTTTCTAGCATACCACAACATATCACAAATTTAATGTTATATAAAATATATCCACTCTAACAAAACAAAACATTTCTTGACGTAATTCCATTACCGAGGATTGTGTTTAATGTTAAACATAGGAAAATGTTCATAAACATCTTAAATTATCTCAAGATTATCTCATAATTATCTCATAATTAACCAGTTATTTCTCTCTGTTCCATACTTCTGACTTAAAGCCCACTCTGAAAATGTAAAATAATAGAACATTTAGCATAATATAATGGTGAAATTATTTATACGTTGAAATGTACAATGATCATAACCATTTTACAACAAAATTGCTATAATGTGTTTAAATATCAGCATTTTATAGTACATATTTATTAGTTACTATGCTATAATAAGAGAAGAAAGAATCCAAAAGTGTTGGACATAGACATTTATATTTTACATTGCATTACCTAAGGAATTTTTTATGAAACCGTTTCATTTAATCATTAAATTTTGTAAACATAAATGTTGAACAGTATATGTGTGTTAATATATTTCACAAAAAGCAACCTGTCTGTGATAATATGTGTGTATTAGAAAATAAACAAAAAATAACTGTGCTAATAAATAAGTGCAGTGTTTTTTCTAAAATTATTCACACAACTTTTCCCAGACGTTTTGAATTGTTAAAGCCCTATAGTAGCTAAAAATCAGTCTTAAATTTCGGGAGTATTTATATTAGCCTTATACTTTTTAATTTGCAATCAGGTCTGATTTCCTGTATACATTTCGCGTCCAATCAAATCTTTCTCGAGAAATGCTGCCTGTTTAAATCGAATATATATATTTAGTTTGTTAAAGATATATTATATGAAATCATATTGAAAATGGAAAATGGTCCGTGTTTTGATAACCTGTGATATTTCTCTTAAATGTTCCTGTGAATACTACACAAAATCCTTTCCCTTTACTTCAATAAGTAACATGATATTTTATTAGATCTATGATATACATATTATGCATATAAAACTGTAGCAATATGGATGAAGCCCATCACCAATACCCTAACACCTCTCCAGCTTATACAGAAGCATTTCTAGCCAGTAATGTCTCCACTAATAGATTTACCCAAAATGCACTGTTTAACTGTTTTTGAAAAGTGATGAAATGCGTTCTTCTTAGTTAAAGTTTATGGTTTTAGAAATTACCAATCTGAAATTTTAAAGATCTTTTGTAAAATTATTTTGGATTACTATATTAGTGCATAGTTTTGGTATCATTTGTGAAGACATTACTCGTCTCGTGATGGTAGCAGCATTTGGATACCTTTTGTCTACCTGTTTCTCTAAATGTACTAGCGGGCATATCAGTTCTACTGCGAGCAAATACTGGCGCTTGATGAACGTTCGAAACTCCTTGTTGCTGGGAAATGTTTACTTGAGTAGCTAAACAGGCAAATGTTTTTGTGAGCAATATATTAGTACTTTTTTTATAATCAATCATGCTTCTATGACCCACTTCACGAGGGAAAATACTAATATCAAGAACTGTGGCAAGGGAGCTAACTATGCTATGTATTAAGCATTTTGGTATATTTTACATTGTCATAAACAGTATTCATATGAATAAGGATACTATTACAGCAACCATAATTATATTGTTTTCGACATATTCTAGTTAGGCAGTTTCTAGCATTTTCTTACATAATTAATAAAATAAGTTTGTATGATAAGTTGAAAAGAACCTAAATACTATATCCCGACTAGTTTTTGATCTGTTTTTACGAGCATACATTATACCTACTGGCGTCCTTTAGAATCCTTTAACAGATAGTAGCATTGTTCAAAATAAAAACTATCCTTCTCAATAACTTTAAGACTGCACATTTAATAGAAATGTGTGAGAACATAATACATATTTGTACTGAAAAGGACAAAAAAAATAAATAGCTGAGTAATCATATATTTGAGTCTATATATCCCCCATGCTGCCATAGGCATCTCTACATTACGATAATATTTCATTATATGAAAGAGCATTATTAGATCAAACTGTGGTAACAAAATATTTAAAAAAATTATAAAGGGTAATAAATGGATGTATTAAAAACGATGAAGGATCGCAAAATTCGTGAACTAAAGTTCTAAACTATACATTTTTAAAGTGTATGGTGTCGGTCATGACACACGGTATGGGTTTTACAACCTCAAGCTTACTTCTTAGTACAATATATTATATTCTAGAATGTGTAATGTTAGATTTAAAATATTTTGTTAAACTCGACATAAATGCTTCCGTTCATAATATTTCAATATTGCGTTTACTTCTGTTTTGTAAATTGATATCAATTTATTTAAAGCAGTAAAGTGTTTTACAATAATTTAACAATAGTTCACGAGCTATCCGATATATCAACGTTGTTGTGAAGTTTGGGGATAGGAAAGAAATGAGCTAAATAACAATCATTGTGAATGAATTCAAAATCAAAACGTGGTCGAGTATAGAGAACAAGGTCGATATAAGTTTTTGTTTGTTTCACACACTCTTACTACGACATGCGGAAGCGACATTTCCTTATACCTTGCCCCAAGACACAAAGTCGGGCATATCGGATTTACTCCGCCAAACAGTTGGACGTTCTCGGTGAAACTCGTTCATAGCTAATGCTTCAGATTTACCTGGGCCTAACATGAAAATTTCAAGGAATATTTGGTAAAAACGGCTTTACGACAATAAAGTTATGTAAGCAAACTTATGTTGGTAAACCGTATAAATGAATATCTGTTTTATGAAAGTTATAATGTTCTGTATCTTATATTTTTATTAAAATATATCCGTTAGTAGTACCAGTGATATTACGGATATTAAGACATGTAAGAATTTTAGTTTAGGGAAGGGAGAGAATCTTGTTTTACCGATATATAATGATGAGTTTCTCATTTATGATATTGACCAAGGGTATATTTTGTCCAACCAGAGGCTATACATTAAAGCATTAATATCTATGTTAAACTATATTTTGCATATACTATAAGTAAATATGTCTCACTATCTACATCCATTAGTAAATAATGGTGTTTATTATTCATAAATATATACATATATAGTAATTAGAATACAGTCATTTTGTGGGCATAGAACGACCTAAAATTTATGATTCTTGATTTATTATCAGTAATGAAAGACGACTTTAACACAACAGAAGTAAGTGACAATAGGAAGTGAGAAGTAACACTGGAAGCTCATTCAGTGAAAGTTATATAAGTGATTCAATTAATCATTGTGAACCGGCTCAGGAAATTTATAACGTAATCACCTGCTTCAGAATAGACGATAGCGTTTTTGTTTTCAATTTAGATTGTCAACTTTTTTCATTTGAGAAAACAAATGAGCCGCGTCACGACAAAACCAACATAATGGGTTTGCGACCAGCATGGATCCAGACCAGCCTGCGCATCCGCGCAGTCTGATCAGGATCCATGCTGTTCGCTTACCAACTCTATTACAAGTGGAGACATTGACAGCGCACAGCATGGATCTTGATCAGACTGCGCGGATCCGCAGGCTAGTCTGGATCCATGCTGGTCGCAAACCCATTATGTTGGTTTTGTCGTGACGCGGCTCAAATGTCGTTCGGATGAAAATTTAATGTTTCTTTAATGACTTAACATTGACATATATTCCTTACCACTTGGTCTTGCCTGTTGTGTTGGAGTGATGTAACGTGATTTTATCTGACCAACTTTAGGTTGTATTAAGTTTCCTCCAGGAATTTCATCCATTTTCACTCCATCAGCCCATCTTATAACCCCTGTGTAATGTAAATCGTACAGTGTGATTTAACATCAAATATCGCAATACAGAAAATAATTATATGTGGGACAGTCATTACTGCTTAGTGGGAACCACAAGCATCCAGCAAAATTATCTGCTTTTATCATTATATCATGTTATTGGTTTATGTTAATGGAGAAATACATAGAGGATATTCAAGTTTTTTCTATAAATACATGATTTATTTTCATCGAGTGGTATGAAAATAAATATTTCATGAGTGGCGGTAGCCACGAGTGAAATATGGTAATTTTCATGCCACAAGATGAAAATCAATCATGTATTTATAGAAAAAAAACTTGAATTTTCTGTTTATTATATACATTTTTCTCTTTCTGGACATTAAAATTTGAAAGACTTTCCCTTAAATTTTAAGTACTGGCAGAATTTAAAAGAAAGTAGTCCGGCAAGGCACCAGTGAAAATACGGAAAATATGTTTCACTGCAGTGAAAAATAAATTTTTACAGTGAAAATACGGAAAATGAAAATACGCATTTTATTTCATCAATATTTCTCAATATTTCATTTAAAAGTATATAATAAAATGTTTTTTTCTCTCCTCGTCTTAAATCAAAGTAGTCTTGCACTTACCATCAACAAACACAATTCTAGCGCCGCCAGCCTGCAAGACTTCTTTCACGTGTCTCCAACTTCCTCCTGCACGACCATGACGTAATCTAAAATATGACATGATTAAAACAAATGTGTCATTGCAACATTTGATATCTGAATTATCATCGACTATATTCATGAACATTTCTTTCAACCCTTTTGTAAGAAATGCTGAGGGCAGTATATAATACTACAGATATTATGATAAAACATACATGAAAGAACATAAGCGAAGTTAAGAATAGAAGAAAGAAAATACCTTAGATATAATATTGACTTCCTATGTTAACAAAACTGAGTAAGTAAAGATAAGGATGCAGGTGTTTCGTAAATGCAGAATATACTCTATAAACGTATTGGACTCAGGACGGCCACGAAAGAATTAAATGTCGTGTTTATAAACATGGTATGGTTTATTATTTTACCTGGCTGGACCAAAGTCCGGATAGCTAGCTGACGGCCACTGTTTGCTGACTTGGTTGAACGATTTGTGGAAATCATCATACCCGGCGGTATCGTTATATCTCAAATGTACAGGAACAGTTTCATCAATCTAGTAACAATAAGAGATAACAAGAACATGTTTACCTAGCAACCTATTGTTTCATCATTATCATTATTACTAGTAGCATCCAAATCAGTAATCTATGCACCAATGTTTAAATTGCACCACTTATGATCATTGTAAGAGAGTAACCTCAAAATGAACTTATCACTGAAGGCCATTTAATAAGTTCATTGTAACAGATTAGAGGTACTTAAGTTGTGGTAATCTTTAAAGTCTCGTTGATATTACAGGTTGGAAATCATGTTTTAAACATGATCTTTTAATTTCAAAAGAATTTTATACGTTTCATACCATGGCATAAGTTTGGCAAACTACAGGAAATTCAATTTAAATCATACAGTTTCTTTCAATAATAACTTTGCTTTTATAAGTAAACATGTGTGTGACGTCAGTTGCTTATAAATGCTTGATAGTCAATAAATCAATAATAATAATAATAATAATAATAATAATAATAATAATAATAATAATAATAATAATAATAATAATAATAATAATAATAATAATAATAATAATAATAATAATGATAATAATAATAATCAGTAATAGTATGATAAATAAAAACCTTTGAGACTTACACATGCCTGTGGGGCTGTCACATTATATAACATTGGATCTGGCCCATATTGCTCTCCATGACCTCTTAGATCCTCCATTGACCTTGACCCTGCTGATAACGCTGGTTGTCTTGGAAATGCTGCGTTTCCTTGCATTGCTATGGCAAATGTTTGTGGAAGTGGTTCTTTTCTGTAAGCTTGTCCGGAACCTTTTCTGTTCATCCATTGTGACATAAGTGAGTAACTTGTTCTGTGAAGAAGAAACTGTTGGTATATACATTTATTATTTCATAAGTAACTGTAGGCCTACTGTAGCTCATGTCAAAGCGTGAAGTTTATGTTAATTTAATTAGATCCAAATGAAAACAGTTACTTGATATATTATTTATTAAATGAACATGCCACGTCTTCATCTAAATATAAGTTACTAGTATTAGACATTTTTCAGTGCAAAGGCATACACAATGATGTTTTTATAATATGTCTCAGTTGAACTAGGAGGATCTTGCGTGTTTATATTTTATACATGTAGTCATTAGATTTTATGAATAATCATAATTAGATGACATGTATAAATAAAAATATGTTATCATACAATATCACATTACTGTAATCTCAAGCCATTTTAACTTTAATACTTGTACATGTATAATTAATTGCCTAACTGACTTTAAATAGTTTAAATACAAGTTATTTTACATTCCTTACTCTTTAAGATATTACAAAAGCTTATCTTGATCGAAATGTTTTCATTGATTTCATGATATAAATAGAGTTTTATTTATTTTGTGTGTTCTTTATTTCAAAATCTGACATGTATATGTTCATTGGAATTTAAAAAAGAATTTTTAAAGAATTAAAAAGATTAATGTAAGTTAGGATTATATATCTGGTGAAGTAAAAAGGAAATTCAACAATTGATTGAACTTTTCCTTTCAATGGTTTGATTAACTAGCTGCAATAAACGTATATCTGGCAGACTTTCAATTGAGGTTTTGTCGTAATAAATTGTTAATAAGTTTTAGTTTTTGATTTTTTGTCTGAAGCAAATAACATGATCTGTGACAAGCATATTAAACGACATATATGTCAAAGTCCGTCGTCACGTAAACAGTACCGAATAGATAAGATCTATCATTTTTATTTCCCCTTAATTTATTAGAATTTTATGTTGTTGAATGAGCACGTGAAGATGTTTTCCCCTAATTTAAACATACATTAGAACACATTTTTAAGTAGATAGCATAGTTGTATACATATACTGGTACTAGAAGTCATCAAACATCATTCTTTTTTTAAAAAGATAAGAATGGGTTAGGTACATTATTTCTAGAACATTTAGACACTAACTAGACTTCCGTAGCTTTTTTTCCTGATAATATATGTAGATATGGGCTCCATTACACTTCGGCTAAATGTAATATAAATTTAATCAGTTGCAAAAGAAAGTGTGTACTTTGTTAATTGGAAATCTGTTAACATGCATTTATGCAAAATAATGGCAAAACATTTGGTATTAAAATTTGCAGAAATTTATAGATCATACAATGGTGTAATTTGTATTGAAATTTTATAATTATCAGAATTTTAGTTTCGTGTAAATAGAGGAAGGCTGAAAAGTAAAAGTTGCAGAATTGGGCTTTTTAACTTTTGTGTTTCGTAATGTGACCATTAAGCTGTATCCAGTGCCTTCATCTCATCTATAGATTAAGGAAAGTATTCGAGACTGCTTGTTGCATGCATTACGTTTTACACGTAACCAAAGTTAACAATAACAATCAAAGTTCAATTCAATGTAAACTATCGTGTAGTCAATACATTTTTGCAAATTATGATACCAAACGTGCCAATATTTTGCCTAAATGAGTTTACAAAATTGTCCTTGTAACCAAGTTCATACTTTTATTTTGCATTTGCAACTCAGTATGTGTGAACATATTTCATTCAATATCACACATGAACAAATACTAGAAGACTTGGAAGTCACTCGCAAACAAAACGTCGAACGCTGATTCATCGTCCAAACAACAAGACAAGTAACTTCCAGACAAAGCAACCATTTGTTATACAGTATTTAACGATCTACAAAAAGAAATTGTTATACATAAAACTATTTGATTTTTTTCAAAACAGTTAAAATTGAAAGGAAATAAAAATCTTTATATTTTGTGTTCAAATGAAAGCAGGTATTTTAAAATCATATTTATGGTGACAATCAATAGGTGTCTTAGATAACGTAGTTGATTAAATACAATAAAATGTTTTACTGTATTTTGTATGACGAATGAAATAGAAACTTACCATCTGGACATTCTCAACATGTACGTTAGTAGAAATCAGACTAAGAAAGCGTAAATGACGATATGTAAGAAAGAAGTATAAAATAAGTAATTCAATCAACAAGTTTATTCATTATTCACGTGAACTTTTTTTAGCTGTTTGCTTTATGTCAGACAAGACAGATACAAAAGTTTGGGTGTATAGACGATTATGTGAGATTAAAAAAGGTTCAGTTTAATAGTTTTTTGACTGATCTAAGATATTTAGAAAAACACATTATACTTATACAGATCTTACCTACGTTTAAACATTCAAAGTGTTATACTTATGAATGCGTAAAGAATTTAATTTTAAACTTACCTGAAACGATTGTCTGTCCGCGTTGGACGATACGTTGTTTTTCTAAAGTCCATAGACATGGTTATATTTTGTCTATTATAAAATAAATTAATTAAACGAATATATTTAAACTTCTATTTATTTATCCATCCACTTCGGTACTGAGTGTTTTAAATAAGCTACTTTGCTTTTTGTACTTTAAATACATTTAAACTTTAAGTCTAATCTCTTCCAAATCACCAAATCTAATTACGGCTGCAATAGCAGACGATATATCGATCTCCCCTGACGACATGAATGGATTCGTCCACCCGGGATATAGAACACTACCGTCATTCACAAAAAGACAATTGGACTGTGTAATATACATTGAATGGTTACTCAATGAAAACTGTCATAAATGTGATATTTTTGTTTGAAAAAAATATTTATGTATGTCACGTAAGTAAACTGTGACAATGCATTTTTACGAACACTTTTTCTCATAGTAAGCAAGCAGTAAAAAACATTATTCATTTGTTACTTTAAATTTGACAAATCTTTCGAACAAAACACTAACAGTCAAAAATGGTTGTTTTATCTAACAAATAATCTTTCAAAAAACAACAACACTATTTTAATATTCTGAAATGTTAAAAATGCAACTTTACCGGAGGTACCTTAAACATAAGAAATTGTTTCGATAGACAAAATGAGACTGACTTATATACATACATGTATGGTTTTTACTCGTACGTTAACGAAGTGCGTCAATACATACGAGTATACCTTTTTATATTCTATAAGACCATTTTTTTAAAGAGAACATAACAGTTCGTTAAGATGTTCGTTGAGATGAAAAGCCAAACATCTTAATGTTAGGTTCCTAGTTAACGGTCTAATGTTAGAATCCCAGCAGCCTGAAATTAGAAGCCTAAAAGCCTGAAGTTAATAGCTTAGCAGCTTGAAATTTGGAACATATCCGCTGAAACTAACCGATAAGCAACCTTAAGTAAGTAGCCTTGTCTGAAGAAAGTAGCTATTAGCTGCCTAGCCGCCTGAAATTAGCAGTAAAGTAGCCTGAATTTACCAGCCTAGAAGCCTGATGTTAGCTACCTAACCGCCTGAAATTAGCAGTCTAGTCACCTGTTGTTACCAGTCAAGTAGCTAGCCTTAAGTGGACATTCTAAAAGCTTGATTCCTCACAGCCTGGCAGGGTAAAATAAACAGTCATGTAACCTGAAGTTTGTAGAAGTTAGCAGTTTTAGGTTTTAAGCTTAACAGCCTGGAAATAGGAGCTATGCCTGAAGTTAGTAGCATTGGAGGCTTAATAGTCTGGTATGCCAGATTGGTGCCTAGCATTCTGGGAATCTTCCAAATTGAAATTTTGAAACGTCCGTAAATACGTAAAAATAATATTCAGTAAGACACTGATTATTTGAAATAAAATAAACACAAATCTGTTGCATTTATATCTGCTATCTCTTTTATGGTATGATAATAGCCTTGATTTATTTTCAATAATCGTGTGTTAATGCATATGTCGCAGACGTATTCTTTTCAGATTATAAAGTCAATATTATCGAATAAAACTTCAAAAGAGATTTAACAAAATGACAAGTTTGTATTGATTTTTTACGTTAAATGGGTGATTTTTGGGTTTATAATTTGTCTCCGTGAAAAAATACAAAATAATTAAAAATCCCGCGACCTGTTTCAGTTTAAAGTAAGTAAAGGGCGATAATCTATATATAAAGTCGAAATAAGTTAAACAAAATAGTTTAGAATTAAGTCATGATTAAGATTTGATAAAGGTAGGGATTATATACAAGGTTTACTGGTTTTATGTGTACGTATAAAGTGATCGTTGATTGATCATATAGCATTGGTGTGTCGATATTTTTGGTAAATCAATATCATTTCTATCATAATTTAGGTCGAAATATGCGGGTATACTTGAATAATCGACGGCATGAATTTAAAAAAAGATGAGACAAATAGTGTTAAATGATAACATGAGGTGTCGTCAATGAAGAAGAGGAATGTGGAATGACAAGAAAATTAATTAGTAATAGATTTAAAAACTTGGGGTAAGTGAATTTAGTTTACTTTCTGTATGTTGTACATGTGTACTTAAATATGCACCTTAAGCTGGTCAACTGAAATCAATATGTTAACAAACTGATTTATACATAACAAGTCTATTTACATGCATTTACGTTCATTGTTTATTCATGAAACAATTAAACCAAAAACAAGAACAAAAGGTTGAACGCGAACTGTTAATGTGTGTTATCTTTTTATTCAATTAGTTTAAAAGTAATGTATGTATTTCTTAAAGTAAGGAATTACGTACAAGTACGCGTCATCAACGTGCAGATATTATTTAAAAGAAGTAGTGTACAAATGTAAAGGAAAATTAAGTTATGCGTCAGAAAAGAACCAGAATGTATAATAGATAAACCAGAGTAACTTGGTTATGTACATGTACTGATTACATAATTCATGCTTATAGGGAAGAACGTGATCGGCAGTAGATAATGACGTCATTTTAAAGAAGTCGCAATGGGTTGTACACAAACTAAAGTAACAGATACAGCAGACAGTGGACAGTTGAAGCAAACTAAAGAAAAACCCACAAAGCAGTCAAAAAATAAGAATGGAAAAACTACAGATGTTGAGATTTTAGAACCCGTGAAACCTAAAGCTACCTACGCCAATTATCTTAGTTCATATGACGGCAAGGTAAAGAATGAGTCGGCTTGCTCTCTACGAGGGGTAACGTTCATGCAAAACGGAGACCTTGTTGTCGCAGATTATAAAAATAACAAATTGAAACTATATAGTTCAAAGTTTGAATTTCTCGCAGAACTAGAGTTACCAAGTGCACCTTGGGATGTATGTCAGGCAGCCGATAACGCAGACGATATATTAGCAACTGTGCCATACAAAAAAGAAGTACACCGTATCACCGTTAGCATTGAAAACAATAAAGAAAGACTTGTTCCACTGTCAGAATTCAGAACGGAAGGTTTTTGCTGGGGTATATCGTGTTTTGACGGCGGCATCGCAACGTGTGTCAAAGTGTCCGTTCCAGAGAAAGCATGGCCGAAACCGCCGGAATTCCAAGTTCATATTCACGAGTTTGATGGTACATACCGACGTGCAATCATGTTTGACGCAAACAGTGTCCCATACTTCAAGGAACCTAAATATCTCAATGTTACATATGATGATTTATTTCTGTTAATTTCTGATTATAAACAGAACACAGTTATGTGTATGAATAATGAGGACGAACTAATTTTCTCGTATTTGGGAATGAAAAGTCCAAACGGCATTGCCATGGACGAAAACAAAAATCTTCATATTGCCAGTTTCTTTGGTGCACAGAGAGTTCATAAAGTTGGTCCTAACGGAAAATACATAGACGGTCTGCCACATGATGAAGATAGACCATTGTTTCCTCATGGTATATGTTACAGAAGAAAAGATAAAATTATTGTTATGACAACTGATCAGTCCCTGGAAGTCTATAAACTCGTATAGAAGAAAGTTAAAATGTTGAATATGTCCGGCATGAAATGCTTGTGACTTTTATGTACACGTAGTAACACTGTAATCTTAAATCATTATTTATACTATTGCATTTATTAGAGTAATTTGCATTTAGTCAAAAAACAACAACAACAACAACAATTAATGTTCAGTTGCAATGAAATTAACAAAATAACTTCTTGCCAGTTATAGTGACCTTATGAAAAAGTCTTTGAATTATACGCTGAACTATATTATTATAATGATCTGTGATAAAATTTTGCTTTAAGATATTATATCACATTTACATATATTATACTTTACCCATAATATTATATATATTTTTTGAATATCTTTGTGCCAAATTTTATAATATTCTTTTTTTTTATAATAATCTTCAATGCACCAAGTTTATTATGTTGAATATCTCCATATATACATTGGTATACTGACGTATTATGAAAATACACAACATATTCTAAATATATCATAAATGTATTCAAGTTTTCATTTTAATGTTACATCGACAATGTAAATATAGTATTGATACATCACGTTTTTTTTTTAAATCGGAGACTAAAGCAGCGAACGAATCTCTATACTTCTTATAAGTCAGAGGTCTGTTCTGTTCTGTTGTTGTGATGTGATCCACGCCCTCTAATTGTGTGTTTCTGACGGTTGCTTATATCAAAATTAAACTGACTATACTTGTCAGAATAAAGCATGCTATTGTCTATTTAATACATTTTAGTATAATTTCTTAAGAAGATTAAATGGTGATAAATGATTATTTCAATCGGACACGTAGAAACAAGGGGAAAAATCCATCCTACATTAGTCTTTAATCTGGTTGATTATGTCCCCTTACTAGTGCACTATGATAAATAGATGGGCTATAAAAAGTTGCTCTATATACTTTTCTTTTATAATTAAGAGTTTCTCAGAAAGAAATACTCATCTAAATCCGAAGTTCAGTAGATTTGTTTAAGAGTTGAGATATTTGTAACGAAAATGAGATGGACGGACAAAAAAGGATTTAAGATAATGGTTAATACCCAACGGCCGAACCATTAACATTTACATGTTAACCAACCGTGGGTATCCGAAGATGGGTTAAATATGAAAGATAAAAAGTAACAGATCAATTAAAAATAAGACATATTGTTATACGACAAGATGTGTGTTGCTATACAGACCAGGTTATAAGCTTATCTATGTTATATCAGAAATATTGATCTCAATAGAATTAATATCAAACAATAGGAGAGTATAATGTATTGGCTATAACAACACTCGATAATTTTCCTGCTGCATTAGGAAATTTCCATGTGCACATTTGCAAATTTAATGATCATATCAATAGAAAAGATATTACTGTAAAATACACGTGTTGGGCGTCATTCCTACATTATACGAATTACAATGCCCGTTTCATATACATGTATGTGTAAATAACGATGGCTAAAACATCTATATTTTCTCTTATGCATTTATTGGTATAAAATTAGTTTCGATCAACGATAGAGTACGTCATCAAATTTTATTGCTGGTCAATCATCTAGAAAAGTACAATTTTATTAGCTGTATTTGATAAATTACCTGCAGGAATGGATTGATTAAAGTTTGTTGAAATCGGGATCTTACCCATTTAAATTGTGTTTATTTGCTTCAGTTTTATTCTGTATGAACAGTAAAGCATTTTGTGTACATAACGATAGCTAGGTAAACTTTAAATACTTATAATCACTTTATACTAAATGAAAAAGGGTAGAACTTTAAACATAAAATCAGTGCCGTAAAACAACCGCCGGATACCAATGAAATCCGCCTTAGCATAATGATAGGAAGACTTCACAAAATGAGTGAAATTACAGTCTAAATGTAACAAAGACAAAAAATGAAAGTTCAATATGTTATCATATATGGAAAGTACAATAGATATGAAAGTATCATGGTGAGATAATATATTTGAAAAACTTTCAGTTCTGTGTTGATTAATCAAGAAGCCGGATTTATTCACACGTTCAATAACAATTGTTCCTGGAAAGTAATAAATATATCTTCAAAGATGAGATCTAGCCGGGTGTCCTATTACGAGAAAGAGGTTCTGAAAGAGTTACGATTAAGAGTAGAGACAAACGACCCTCTTTTCTATGGACAAAAGAAATTGAAAATGCGTGGGAAAGATTTGAAGGCGATCCCTCACGTGCTCTTCACCATGATGGATCTTGAGGTTTTGGACTTGAGCCCTGAACGCGAATCGTGCCTCGACTTCCGCCTTCCTCTGGTTCCTCCATCTATAGGACGCTTGATAAACTTGAAGGTTCTCATGCTGGATACCAATGATTTATATACTCTACCAAAGGAAATATGTCTGCTGCAGAGTTTGGAGCGTTTGTCGCTAAGCAACAATGTTCTGACGTCACTGCCTCATGGTATCAGTCGGCTTCCTCATCTAAGAAGTCTACATATGTCAAATAATAAATTTGAGGCCTTCCCTCTTGAAGTTTGTGATGTCAAAGTTTTAGAATTTCTTGACCTCAGTGATAATTTGTTGGTATCCATACCAAAGGAAATCGTTCGTTTAAAAACACTCGGAACTCTCTTGCTCAACTATAACAAACTAATTCATCTACCAGACGAACTATGTGAACTCGTAGATCTTGAATGTTTATGGCTTGGAAACAACCGGTTGAGGGAACTTCCGCACAACTTCGGCAATCTCGTGAAATTGGACTGGGGATACAGGTACACTTCCTCTGTGCTAGAATGTAACCCACTGATCATCCACCTTTAGAGATATGTAGGCTAGGGCCAAGGAAAATAACCGAGTATTTCAAGGATCTGGATTCTGTAAGGGAGATAACTACGGCTGAGTTTGAAGGTGACGAGGAAGAGTTACGCGCCATCGAAGCTGAATCAGATCTTGAAAAAGAGGAAAACGATACAAAAACCCCAGAACCAGATGAAACATGATCTAACGCGTATAAAAAAACGTTTTCCTTGCTGATATCAGTTTAAATTTATGATACTTTTACGACATGGTATAGTGCATATTGACGTATTTATGGGTCTGTTTATTAAGTGTTCTACACTTAATTCTAATTGACTTTCAATATTTAATAGCTTAGAATCAAGTTCTAGATAAATCAATATTAGCTAAGCCTTTCTTTTTATTTCGAGTGTTTAAACTTCCGGATGATGACATATAGAGCTTACCTACATTTCAGAGTTTCCGTCTGATTCCATTTGGTGTTATTTGTGATATTACCATATCAGTCGCAATATGACATTAAGTGTATGAAGTTTAACGTATATGCGTATTATATTCACATTTGCTTTATACATCTCAAGTCTAATTGTTGTATCTTAAAAGTCCTTGTTTAATTTCCTAAACGAACGTACGCTCACGTGGCGTCCATTTTATTAGAAATTACAGCATATCTGATATCAATAAAGTACATTTCTGTAACTGGCTTTTTTCGTGCTTGACCATATTTGGGTTATATGAAATAGTTTTCATTACAATGTTCTACAAGCTATATGCGTTCAAAACTCTTCCCCCATGTTTCTGTAATACAGCCCGATTCAATGAATAATATATTGCATGCCTCGAGTTACCACTGAAAACAATTGTTTTTGAAAAATAAATGGCTTAAGCGTTAAAGTTCGCTTGCCGCTAATTGTTACAAAATCGAATATAAAAAGGCAATTTCTTCAGTATGCATGTAGAAAGTCGGTAGGTATATCTTTAGCCTCGCTCGTGTCTAAAATAACACATGGCGTGGCGTATTGGATCGTCAGCCGCATTGTTACAATGTGATTTTTAAATACAACTTTGTTGTTTTGTATTGTACTGTGGTTAGTTTATAATTTTAGAACAATCTATTTTGTCAGACCGACAATATACAAACTACTGTTCAAGTTTGCCTAAACATTTTGTTTTGTTTTGTTTAATTAATAAAATCATATAAAATACTTTAGTGAACGATGGAACGATGTTTAGTTAACATAGTCGAATCGGCCAGCCATATATCCTTATATCATAGTCTTAATTTTATCATTGAAAGGGAGGTAACTCTATTTTGATATGTATAAGATTGATTTAAACGGTCGGTTTTCAACCCCTTCTAGTCTGGAAATTAAATAAAGTCTAAATAATATATATTTGACAATTCTACACGTTACACCACAGGCACGAGTATCGGACCTGGGAAGAAAATATGACCACATTGATAAAAAAAACCTCTTTGTTCATCTTAAATCTGTCAACAACAAAAAAAAATCCAAAACTAAATTGCCCCCTTAAAAATAAATTATAACTAAATTTATAACTTAAGAGAAGACTGGAAACTCCAGATTCGAGTCTACGAGCAATGGGCTCATTTCCCGTGACGTTGTGAAAACAATTGTCCAGATAATTATAAAAAACTTTAATCACTATTTCACGTTTGTATTAAGCTTCCAAATGAGACCCACCGCAAGTCTCTAGCCCTTCCCGTTCGTGCTAAAACTCCCAGATAGATAAAAAAAAAAGTGGCACAACGATTCGGTACGTAAACATAGATTAATGCATGTTTGTCAGCCGAGTTCGTGTCAAAATCACTTGAATTTACTAACCACTCACAATAGTCAGTAGCATCTGATACACGCGAAATTCGAGTTTCAAACCTTTCCACGATCTTTAGATTCCTTTCTACGCCAGTGCAAAACCAGCTGTTCGATATTTTGTAAGGAGTCTTCTGACTGGCCAATAGCAACGAAACCGCAACGTTACGCACAAGGATGCCTAATGGCGTAGAAAGGAATAGGTTTTAGCACGAATGCGCTCGTTTGCTGATAGATATTTCATGAACGGGAAAGGCTAGGGACTTGGGTTGGGTCTCATTTGGAAGCTTAATACAAACGTGAAATAGTGATAAAAGTTTTTTTTTTAATTATCTGGACAATTGTTTTCACAACGTCCCGGGAAATGAACCCATTGCTCGTAGACTCGAATCTGCAGTTTCCGGCCTTTTCTAACTTATAGTATATCTTTAAGGGGGGCATTTTTTGACACATTTAAGATGAACACAGAGAGTTTTTTTTATCAATGTGGTCATATTTTCTTCCCAGGTCCGATACTCGTGCCTGTGGTTTACCCTGTCTTTTACGAAATATCATCAGAGATTGTGTTGATCTGGAACGCGATACTTGACAATACGATAATAAAAGCACAAAATCACGTCAGTATAATATACGAAAACACATTAGTAAGATAACGAAAAAAAATGAATAAAAGATTAATAGTATGATAACAAAAATGCGTCTGTATGGTAAACATTAATGATAATGTGTGAAATACTTTTTTGTTTTTGTTATTTTACTGTCGCATTATCGTTATTATTATATTGTAGCGTTATATTAATCGCACTGACGTTTTATGACAACGTGAAGTATGATAATAAAATGGCGAAGTACGTAAGAGCGAAAGTGCGAAAATAAGACAAGCAGGATAACGCTAACGAAAACACGGCAGAAGATCGTAGTATAGTTATCATACAATGGCATAATTGTCATCCTGTTGTCGGGATTTCGTGTTTTCATTTTTGTATTGTCGAGTATCACGTTTCAGAGTGACATCCTCCGGTATTATACATGTCTAAGTCTGTACAGAATTTTAGTCATAATTTTGGTGTTTGAATGTTTGTACAAACATTAAGTAATAAATCGACATTAACTGTGGTTTTGTTTGTGATTTATGTCTTAAACGTTATTGTTGATAAAACGAATATATTGTAGATAAGCTATTTCAGTACGGAAGCGTTAAAAGGCCTCCAATAAGAGAGGCCAGGATGTGTGAGTCGACTGATTTTGTTTCGATTTTATTAGACGTTGAAACACAAATCAACTTATATCATTACAAATATTAAAACATCGTTTATTTCGCCGAACCTTTTCTTGACATGATTGAGGTTTTTGTCTAGGCGTAAATGTATCTTTTCGTCTTTTGTAATACATTTGTCTTTTTTAACAAAAATTCGCCTAGACAAAAAAACTTCAAGCATTTTAAGAAAAGTAACTAAGAGTGAAAAATTGATCCATTTTTGTGAATACAAGGAACTGATTTATGTTAAAATTTCGAATTGAATCAAACAAAATCAGTCGAATTACACCTCATGATAGCGCTAAAAGGAGGCCCTTTATAGTTTCCGTTATTCCAGCTCATCGACTTGCACGCCATTTAACTCTCCTAATCGGTAATACATGTCTTAAATTTTGATTTCTGCCACATTTTAAGAAATCGTGTGAACAATATTTAGTAGAATAAATGTTTATATAGCCGCAGTAGAGTTGATTTAACACTTGAAAACTGTAAAGTATATAGAAGTGCATCGGCAAGGGAGTCAACTGTCGTGTAATCGCAATGTGATTTTTAATTTATTGCCTTACATTTTGAAATGTAATTACATCTTCTAGTTACAACACGCGCGTGACTTATTACAATTAAGAGATCAGTTTAAACCCGTACGTGATTCTTACAATCAAAATCTTGACATTTTACTGATAACACGTAAAACATAGATAAAACCGTCACACAATTACATTTATCACAACTGTTTCAAATTTGAAAATTGAAAATGTTTTAAATTCTATACAAATACCTCAAACAATGTACATAACTGTGTAACATTAATTTATACATTGTATATGTTTATTTTTCTGTCTTCAAATAAGAACGTTTTATGGCATGACACTGTTTTATTTATCTCTATCATCAATGTATATTCTACACATAACAAGCGCAGTTTATTCACAGACATGCACTAATACGATGGTTTTAACAATACCGTTCGTAGCAGTAATTGGATTTCTATAATCAACGAAATACCGTAATTGATTTATTTTGATAGTAAAATTAGCAATTCATTCTAGAAATGCGATAGTTTATGTTTTCCCAGTGGGAAATTTGATTCCTTTCCGATAATTGTTGATTGATGCAGGAATACCTGCATGATATTTTTCCTTGAAGACTTCTGGCCGTGTTACAAGGTCGTCTGCTCGGTTATGTAGAATTACTAAATGTAATAAACAGTATGTTATTCTCATAAATGGAATTAACATGCTGTGTAATGTTTTTAAAACATGTAATATATTTCAGTTAAACTTTTATATTTACAGTAAATCCTATTTTACCATTTTGACCTTTTAAAACATGGTATGTGTCTCGGTTTAGCTGACAGCCGACAAATACATGTTCAGTCAATTAAGAAAGGTAATGCTGGAATATTTCAAACTGTACACTCGGTATGATTTAGTCCATGTTTGAACTCGAGCATTATATTATTTCCTGTACTGTCTTTTGACATTTATTATTATCTTTAATGGCCGCTGATCTATAATGATTTTTTTCTTAAACAGAATACCTTTATATATGAGTTCTTGTCATTGTTTTTATTATTTCATTTTTTCCTCTTAAATTTGATTAAGCAGAAGAAATACTTTCCAATGCAGTCTGGATATTTGAATATTTTATGAGTAGAATGTCCTCTTTCAGGATGACTAGCTTTTCGATAAATATGTGTGAATGTGTAATTCTATTTCTAGACCGTGAGTGATAATGATGCCAATAATGCAGTCATTGTTTGATTACTACAAACAATAGCGTTTGATATGAAATTTATTAAATATACATAAGTACTGAAAATTCCTCCATTATGTTGTGTATGTTTGCTGATAGGCAGACTGGTTTAGCGGGATGGTTGTACCACCGTCTCCAAGACTACAGTAAACATGGAAATCAACAAGCGGCTGTATAAACCATTGTCCCAGTCTAATTGTTTATCACTCCAAAAACTTGATACTGTCCGACTGCGATAAATATCGAAGGATCTTTACTTTAAATATCTTTTCAAAGCTTGATTAATCTACAACTTATAGATATTACTTTACAATCTCGAGACACGAAATAAAAAGTCTTAACAATAAATCAAGACATTTTTGTGAAAGAAATAAATAAGGATAAAATTTCTCACTTCATTTTTATAAGTTAAGGACATCTGATATATAAACATTAAGGAAAATGGGTTGCGGAGGAAGTAAAGGTGAAACTGCCAACCAGACGTCGCAGAACGGTACAGAGGCTCAAAACAAGGACGCCGGAAAGCAGGAGTCCAGCAAGCAGGAAGAGTCCTCGACACAACAAGGAACAGCTCAAAATGAGACTAAACCAAAATCAGGTAATTCATTTTAAATATCGTCTTTTTTCGGATGATCTGTAAAATATTCATGCTTTAAAAATCACTTTAGTTTATATTATTTGTTGTTTATACATCGGGGAAAAAACTACATGTAAAGTTATCCTGAAATTTTGTACTTAAGGATTTAGAAAATCACAGTCATTGTCAGGACATCCATGAAACCATAGTTTTTTTTCTTTCTTAAAAAAAACAACAGCAGAAAATCTTATTTATATCAATTTGAATGTATTTTACAAGGTTCATAAAAATATTGAAACAACTTTTTCAGTTTAAAATGGATGTCTTCACAAATATTCCAAGCTAACACGGGGTTGTAAAAAACTTTTATTTTATTTTTACATCGTATTGATAAAGTTTTAAGAGATGCATAAACATGATATATGGATAATAAATATGTACAGAATTTATAAAAGATCGATACCGTTCCATGGGTTTTCATTATTTTATTATCAGTAAAAGTAGATAAAAAGCTAACTTTCTTTTTTTAAGACTTGATAAATTACGTACTGTTATTCAAATTCAAAAACATTCGTCATGTGTTTGTGTCGCACCTTGTTCTATTGAGTATTTAGGAGAAAGGTAATCTGATCTAGTGATGTTAAACCAAAGCAAGGCAGGGGAGCACTTTACATCAATTTATATTTTAACAATCGTTTACTGGACAGTTTATCAAAGGAAATAGTATACGAAGTTATGCATGATTATATCTTCTTACAATGTGACAGTCATTAAACATCTTTTCAAGTTTTATCCATAGTATAAACAAAAAGTGCATGTTCAAACTGCAAAATATACACGATAATGCAGCCAATGAAATCACAATACAAATTAATGGCAGGATTAAAGTGGCATCTGTAAAAGACACATCTTTTTCTAAAGTAGCAGCATTCTTTTCATTTTCTTTATTCATTTCATTTTTTTCATCTTTTCGCTTAAATCAAATTCATTTAATTAGTTGAATAAGATGGTGTAAGTCTAAATTTTGTTTGTTTTGAATTATTGTGTTGCTGCGTCAATATCCGACTTCCGTCTTTATCATTGTGGTATCGTCTGCAGAAATTGATGAATTAAATATGCTTTCTGTATTCAATAAAAACAATTATTGCAAAATGACAAAGCGTAAAATCATAAACTATTAATGCGAATTTATTTCTATTATAGTTCGCTTATTGATACCAAGAATTTAAATTTACCTTTTTTTCTATACGTTCAAAACACATTTGTTTTTCAATATTGCATGAACTGCAAATTTAAAGAAAACGATTATCTTCAGAAATTTTTTCATTCATGAAAATTTCTTTGAAAGTCCTTATCATAGTCTGAAGATTATAGTAATGAGAAAGGGACCGTACCCTCAGTGCCTCAAACAGGCTGATATATAGAAGCTCATTACACCTAGAATACGCCTACAGTAATGAGATAACAAACTACTTAAAGTAAATTTGCAGGTGTTGGCAGCACACGTGAATGGTGCTTAAGTCATTTACCTTTAAACATCTTACATATAAAATGATAGTACTTCATTTTCTAGAACTTTCGTTTATTTAATTACTTGTTTCACAGTTTTTTTAATACTCAGGTGTTACCATAGCGTTCATATTACTTAAACAATTCGTCTGCCGAAAAAAATACGAGAATAATTAATATGTGACGAAGAGACATATAAAATTTTAAAACATAATGCCCGCATATTTATTTAACAACCCATATACATACCGCCAGAATCTGTACATAAAATTTAAAATACACGTGACCATAGTTTCACTCAAATACATCAGTTTGACAGTTTAGTTTCTTACTAGAATATCCAATTCATTTCTTATTCAGATTTACCTATAAGACAGGTCACATGATATATAAGCAATTTTAACATAATAATCATTGAATGTATTAAATTTTTCTCTTATGCTGTATTTTTTTGGATATATCTTGTTTTATTTCTAAATGTAATTTATGTTTGTCATATATATGTTGATGGTACATGTATGTAACATAAAGTCTCATAATTCTATTGGAGAATGGTCATATGTATATGTCATTATTTTTACCATAATTTATGTATATTTGATTGTGATGCATATAAAAGAGACTTAAAAACGAACTAATCAAACCTATGAAATAACAAAACGATTGAAGACAATTTAACGTATCTTTTAAAGTCAGCTTTTTTCTTACATCATATAATGCAAAAGCACTATGTGTATATATTTGTTCATAGTTTTTTTCAGTTACATGATGAAATATTTATATCACTGGTCAATGATACGTTCGTCAGATGAGATAACATCATGTATAACACCATCCTGTCATGTCTATATATTTCTTTATGTCCTTGTAAATTGAAAGTTACTATATTTGCACAATGACGGCATTTCTAAAAAATACAGGGTACTGAAACAATGATTTATTTTGCATGACTGTTATGTTAATAGACTATTATATGATTTAACGACATTCATCTTATTTTTACCATATATTTCAATATCCTGATTTTATAATACAACATTATACTTAAAACAATGAAGTCATTTAAAATATATACGATACTTTAAACAATGAATTCGTTTAAAACTTTTGTTTTAAAATTAATTGTCATTGGCGTACACTTTTCGTACACTGATTAAAACGTATAACTATACTTTGTATCAGTTTCGTTTTTATGTATTTTTTCTTTATTAATGAACTACTTGAGTTTAATGCAATAATATATGTTTTCTTAATATTCATTAACAAGTGTATTGATCGGGTATTATGTTTATTGGTTTAGATGTCGGCGTTTGATAACAGCTATTTAACAAGTCAATGTTAAATAATTTAATCAAGGCAATGAGAGATGTCCACTCAGCATTACTTTTCTATCTCTGAATCGATCTGAAATTACGTCAATATTACAAGAGCTATGTCTGAACATCAAATAAATCGAGACAAGTGATTGTTTAATGAATAATAAATAAGTTGTAATTGTTAAACAGAAGATAACTGATATTCCGGAAATAGTCTACAATAAAATCAATGTTCAATATGTGCATTACACATCTTACTCTGCTCTCTACATTATATTTCAATTGGACTTGGTAATTGTCGGCATAGCTTTGTTGTGTTTCACTGTACATACATTTTCTGTATATATGATTAGTAACCAAACTGACATATATAATTATCAAATATACATGTCTTGCGTGGGTGATGGAGGTTTTTAGAGACATTCCCTTTTGTTTAAGGAGTAGATGTTAAACATGTTGACTTAAAAAATAACATAGCGACCTATGAAACGCAAACAACTCATAGGTCACACACCCCTATTTACTTTAAACTTGTTTAAATATTACGCATTTTCAATATTTAAATGTCATTTTTTATATTATTATATTATTGTTTCTAAAAAGCCAACACAGACTTACGCAATGCGTGCGCGCAACAAACGCACATACGCTTATTGTTTTCTTTCTGAAATGAACATCATTCATTTTACACCAAAATAATAAATCATTTTAGTACAATATAATAAAAGTCTATAATACCAAGGTATAAAGAATTGTCCATGTATAAATGTATTCCAGAACCAGCTAAAGTAGAAACATCTGAAGAGAAGACAAAGTCAGAACCGGAAAGTGAAAATAAAACAGAGGAAGCAACAAAGACTGAAGATACCGCACAGACACAAGCGGAGGAATAGTTATCAAATGTTTTTTCTGTGTATATGATTAGGTAAGTTGTCAAAATGATACTTAATTGTATTTGCAGTCTAATTTCAACGTTCATACGTGTGTACATTTAATATTAGTATGTTTGCTCCGTTTAATAGTTTCTCTGCTGTAACGGTTGATTAATTGATTAATAAACCATGATTTTAATTGTTATATAGATATAATGCTTATGTACCTTTTCTCGTGTATTAACTTTTGCAGAAGTCATATTACTTGATGGCAAATTTCCTGTATTAAAGTGACATGTTTGATATTTTATATTGTTTCAGATGATGAGAAAGGGAATGAAGTCTTGTTTACCTGGAGAAATTAAAACCTAATGATTACAATGATATAATTCTGTGAACATTTTTAATATATTTTTGTATTTAATTACAAATTCTTGAGCACAATGTGTATGAACATGGATTGTTATACAAGGTAATGCACTTGAATACGTTGTGTAAATATTAAAGACAAGATTCAAGGGCTCTCTTGACTTTACCGATGAAATAACACACCTGTATCTACTAAAATCTTTACAAATGCCGTAAATTTAGATAGCTAATCATTATATTATCTTTTTGACTTGATAAGTTACTTCATCTACAGGGAGATAAATCTGCACTTTTCGTTTTAAGTAAGACATATTCTAGTGAGTTCCAGTTTTATAATTTTGACGAGCATTTTGTCAAACTAAGATAATTTGAATTTCAATTACCATGTAGATAGTTACAAATATCGTCCCAAAAGGTTACGTACATAGCTTTTAAGACATTAACTTTACTTATTATTTCAGTCAGGTATGTTATTTCATTTAAATTCCGTCCAAATAAAAATTCTGTGATACTATACTGTTATTTATATATTGTTTCTGTTTTGTAAATAGTATGAACTAGTTACAGAGCTTGTAATTCGTATATAGCCTTTACTTAAGCAGCATTTCATTTTATAAACCAACATAGCACTATCTTATAATTATAATGGTTTTAGGATTTTAGCTTTTAGCCATTATATTTAATAAATGATATTTTTTTAATTATGTAGTTGTTACTATTTTGGTCGTTTAATATACAGTATAAATATGATATTCTATTTAACTTAAACAAATATTACACAAATGATCACAACAGAACGTTCATTTCAAAAACACGACAGACACACCATCCTGTTATAGATTATATACATGTATACACCAATACCATTTTGTCGCAACTAATATTTTCATGTTATCCTAAGTACTTGGTATTACGTGAAGAAAAAGACGATTTCAAAATACATACATTTGTATATATTGACCATTCTGAGTACAGACAATAATGTCTTTAGTAATTTATTGACTCTCTAAAACGGTTTAATTACCATTTTGTATCTGGAAATGAATAAAAGTCAGCAATAAAACAGTTAGTTTGTTATTTTATTATCCCGAGGGATTAGTCCAACAGCGAAGTCTTGGCTCAAATTTAGTTCTCAAATATAACATAGTTAGAATTTATCTAGGTCATCCCAAACATTACATTAATGGAGATTAATTTAACGCACTATTTATTCTATATGTGTGCTTTGAAAATATATTAACGAGAAATAATTGCACAATAGTCTAGGTGATATTTCAAGGAGTAATTTTACCTTGATAAAGAGACGGAAGGTGACACGAATAACAAGATCAACCTTTCCGGTTTATCATTTTTATTATATCACATGGAAACAAATCCATTCCATTTATTTCTGTTTCAAGGCTGACATGACATTCCCATTAGCTGAATTAGTGGGGGAATGTCATCGTCTTTCTTTAATTTGAAACTACGGTGTTTGACTGCTAAATGAATATGAACTATGTCACTTTGTTTCCTACATACATGAAATACAGTCCAGCTATAATCTATTTCTTCAAAGAAGAAAGCATTTGTCTTAGACACCTAAATAAACAGGTAGAATGCATATTTGAGCCGTGTCACGACAAAACCAACATAGTGCGTTTGCGACCAGCATGGATCCAGACCAGCCTGCGCATCCGCGCAGTCTGATCAGGATTCATGCTGTTCGCTTACCAACTCTATTACAAGTAGAGAAACTGATAGCGAACAGCATGGATCCTGATCAGTATGCGCGGATGCGCAGGCTGGTCTGGATCCATGCTGGTCGCAAACGCAATATGTTGGTTTTGTCGTGACGCGGCAAATTTGTTCCAACATCTATAGCATGATGTGACATCAAAGTAACAGATTTATGCTCGAATGGTTCGGTGGTTAAATGTAAAAATTAAAGGTCTTTAAACTATTTCGATTAAAAGGCGGTGGGCAGTTACATGTTGGTACTTGGTCTTAAAGGAGAACAATACAACGTTTTATTTAGTAAACAAGGTCTATAAAAACTAAATGTTACTTGTTTTAATTAAATGTCGTTGATTCTAAATCATACCAGCTCATTACTTTTTGTATGGTCGTGATAAAATAAGGTGCAAATGTATTTCTTTCTACACTCACATGGGATGTAAAGTTAAAGGGAAGTAACTTAAAATTTTACCACCGCCTCTTCCGAAACTATAAATAGCTGACATATGATATAGGTTTTATATATTTGTTATCATTCAGATTATCATTATATGAAGTGAATAACGTATCAACAACAGCTATAATTTACACTGTTCAATTAAAGTCGTGAAAACAACACTACGAAATAAAAAGAATTTATTAAAGAATGTACAAACAAACATTATTTGAGATCCTTGTTATAATTGTGATATAGAATTGGAGCCATTTTTTCTTGTCTGACGTAAAAATAAAGTTTTTGGATTTGGTTATACGACAGGCACTTGATTCCTTGACAACTTTAATAAGCGTTCTAATAGCACAGCTACCTTCATTGATAATAATTAATCTGTTAAGAATACAATAACGTATCCATCAAATGTCATACAAAACATAAAACATGACATCAAATTGAATCTTAAGACGAGACGTTATACTTCATATCCGAATCCTGCAAAAAGTATTGCTTCCGAAACACTTTGTACATGTAACAATACAGAGGCAGCCATATATGCACATGTTATAGAGGCAATTTAACAGCAAACTGTTCAAATCAAACATGGTAATGCAAACTGTTCAGTAACAGCGTTTAGTGAACGCTCATACTTTGTTTCCACTGGGAAACTACTGCTGACTGACGAACGAGATTATGCCTAGCTGGGGCCCATTTGGAGGCTTTCTGTAGGTTGTTAGGCACGTCAAATGATTCCGAATATCCCTCGTCTCTATTCTCATCTTCGGTGTGAATTTCCATCTTCTGTACGACCAGGCGAAGTAACTCATACTGTTTGTCCAGGTGTGAGGAAATGTCCTTTATTCTGGAATGTTAAAGAACATTTTCACTATTGATACATGTAGGTGCACAGATTCTTAGATTGCAAAAAGTACAACCTCTGACAACTGATTCAGGGAATCACTTCTTTGTCTGAAAGGCCTAGAACAATGTGTTTTCTTGTAAGTAAGCTACAGGATGTGAGTTCGAATCCCACGCAGAACGTGATTCCTCTGATGCATTTTCATCTTTGTGTTATGAATTTGGAATGTTTATAAGTACTTATTATGCTATGTTTGATTTCAGTCATTAGTCATTTATGCACAAACTTTTCAACAAATAATTTAGAATTTTTTTTATCCATTTTGGGTTTAAACGTTAGAATATATATCTATAGGCAGTCTGATTGACAGTACACAGAAATTGTATTACCTCTTTTTCTGTTTGTACATTTCTTCATACACCAAAGCATTATGTGAGAGCGTTCGTTCAGCGTCTCCTTCAAAGTTATCTCCGAGAAACGACATCTTGGAAAATATCTGTAAATAAAAACAGAACATCTTTAAATATCAATACAGGTAAATGGCCCTGATATACATTATAAATATGCTTGAAATTTAAAAGTTTAAGCAACAGAAAATAATGATATTACTGTGTTTGATATTGCAATGATTGAACGATCTTGCTAATGAGGAATATTGTGTCAGTCGAATTTCAATTATTATATCATTTTGTCTCCTCCCAAGAAAGTGCCACGCTTTAAAAAAGAGGCGTGTAGGAGGCAGTATACAGATTTCATGACTGCCCGATCTAAATTTACATACGGTTTCCTAATGCAGCTTTTTATTTGAGAGAATGATAATTACAACAAATGAAATAGCGATGAAACTGGAATGTATAATACTACTATTTGAAATGAATTATTTTCAGATCTTAAAAGAAGAAATTTATAATGAAATCTATATTTTATGTTTAAATGTCAAAAACAAGCAAACATTTTCTGTATATGTTATATGATTTTACAGCAAGCATTAATGAATGCTACACAAATGTCCAATATGTATATCATTACTAGATATAATTTAAAACACGATCAGCTGATAGATGAGAAGATTTGACATTATAAACATTCTATGTCTTCCTGTAAAAGCTGATATAATAGTTATTTGCTGATATAATAGTTATGTGTACCTTTTCTAGATGCCCGATGCATTTATTCGGATAGAAAGTATATTCGGCTTTATCAACCACATCCAAAATCTTAAAGGGCAATTTACGTTCCAAGTCTGTGTGTAGCTCAACCTATTTAAAAATAACCATTAGTTCCTCTAATTCATACTTAAACTAGAAAATAACTCATACTGAAAACATAATTACTCCCATACATATAATCTACTTGTATTTTCTGTTAGTAATCAAAATACTTATTATCCAGTATTTAATGAAACATATTTACAGTAACTGACTGCCCTGGTTATCTTGATTTACAGATTTGTTACTTTATCAATAACAATGTAATTGATTATTTTGAGTAAAAAAATAAAATACCTGCATGGCAAGGCGCTTCAGAGTAGCGTTCTTCTGTACTGATTCAATATCACCGACAGCCAAACCAATCTATAATATATATATATAATATTTATAATATACATTGATATACAAAGTTAGGACAATTTTCAGACAAGATGCCATATTTATACCACATTATATCGTATACTAGTATCATATTTATACAACATTTAACCATACTGTATATCATATTTATACCACCTTGTATAGTATATCACATATATACCACATTGTATCGTATACCATATTTATAAAACAATGTATATAATATCACATTTATTCTAAATTGTATCTGTTATATATTATATTCATACACATTTAATCTTACTCGTATATCATATTTTTAAGAAAATTACGAAGCTATGGAAATGCGATTATAGACATAGTCCTAAACTGATGTAAGATACCTGCGAATACTCACCAGAAGGTTCATCAGTAGTATTGGCATGAGAAGTACAAATATAACGAGCAAGAAAATGGTGGCGCCGCCGAAGTACAGTGATTTACTGTCATCGTCCGTGTACGGGTCACTGAAACTCGCCATAAAGTCCAGCTCGAACATCATCATAGATGTCCGTAACAACGACAACCCGGGCGTGGAAAACGCGTTGTTTGTCTGCAAATATACATACATAAATCTTTTAGATACAAGAAAAATAAATAGACGTTACCTTATTGGTTAATGATTTAAAAGTTCAACGTTCCACAAATGATATAAATTCAATGTTAACTTTAACTTTCAAAGTAAATATTGTTCTCTCCACAAAAAAAAGAATTTTAGTATTTCGAGAATAAGAAATATGCATGTGTAAAAAGATAAAAGATAAGTTTTAAATATCTTATAGGATTATAACAATAACAAAATATACCTCTTTATTGAGGAGCATGAAGAACGCCATGCTGAACGCTATCAGTAGGATAGAGAAGACACATAGTACCTGTACTAGTGTCCGTAATATCTCCAGGAACATTACCACATAGATTCCGAAAAAATCAAATCTGAAAATATACAAACAGTAGTCCAATCTTTGTCTAGAATTAGTTTCTCTTTTGAAACTTAATGAGTTTATATTCTAGGAAAGATGTAAAGTTACCGTGAATTATTTAACAATAGTATATAAATAACACATGGGTTTGTGTGTAACAATAAAAATATTATCCCGAGGAAAATACTGTTAACCGAGGCTTTAGCCCGAACAAATACTGTGATGATCTGAAATTGTCAACTCAATCTAACAGTAACAAAATTGAACTGGCGGCCATTTATTTCATTTTCTGTAGCAAATAGACCACATGACCAGATTTTATACTGATATAGTGAGAGGTAATGATAAAGAATAGTTCAATGTTTCGATCAAAACTAGTGCGTGAATAGTGAATACGTAGTAAAAATGCATGAAATGTTCTATGGAGTTTTGTAAATTTATGGAGTTTTGTAAATTTATAACAATAGGTGCTCTTTTTCTTTCTCATTTACTTAACACTATGTAACTGTAAATGTTCGGAACTGTACATACCTTTGTAGATATAGAAGACAGTTGAACCAGGCCAAAAACACAGCTATTGCACCGGCCTCCCACTGCCAGCTAACTGTTCGTCCGCCTATGAAAGGGATGATGTAAACTATTGCCGATCCATATAATACCCACTCTATGGCGTTTGTGAAATCTCGAAAATATTTTTTCCTCTGAAGAAGATGAAAACATTCTGCATGTATATGTTTGTTATGTATTTCTAAAGGTATATTAAGAGTGACAATTGTTTGGTAAAATGGCTAATAGTGATTTTTAACTTTTCAAAATAAGTAAATATGTCAGTTTAATAGTTGTGATAGAACGTAATGTCAAATATTGGAAAGCTTTTGTTAAATTCTTTACTTATTTCTGTTTTAAATCTACTTAGTTAATATTACAATATCTAATTTAAGATAACAAGTTCTATGAATGACTAACAAACCTGTTGTATTAACTGTACTATTTCTTTCAGCATGTTTAACGAGCAAAATATCAGCACAAAATACACACTCACTTTATGCAATGGCTTAAACTGGAAACATAAAAAACACCATGTTATTTTTCTTATTAAAACTTACTAAAACACAAGGCACAAGGATTAATCAAAATATACAAAGTTTCCGTGAACGTTTATAAAAGTCCAACAGAAAAAAAACGACATTTTTCTAATGAAAACCAAATCAAGTAACTTACATGACATGTATTTATATGTGCAGTATTGTCAGTTTCGTTTATTGTACTGTTGTTTTTTGATGAAGCATCTCTGAATGAAAAGGTACAAGTTGTGACTAGGACGGTAAACAAAGCCAGGAAAATCAAGTAGAAGACTAGATTAGAAATATGGAACCATGAGCCGTATGCCCTCCTGAAACAAAACAATACAATACTCATTATATTAATGTAATCAAGACAGCAGGCCATAATATCCATTAAACGATTACTTTATCAGAATTGTAACAGCAAAATGAAGTTGTTTACTGAAATATATATTTTTCTCTTTAATGCAATAAGGAATAATGAAAAATGTTTTTGCAGTAGCAATACCTACCACTTCATATTTAAATAAGCCTCACTTACAGGATGAGACAAACATTGTACACGGCCATGACGTACCATAGTCTGAAAAATAATAAAATAATAACATTTAATGCTATCAATTAAACTCGTTGTCGGGTAGAAATTTTAATGGCGGTGTTGTTAGTAGTTTTCACTCCAGATCAAAGCAGTAAGAAACAGGTAATTTACTAGAGCTCAGTTCAGCCAATGCATCGTTCCTGGGCAGACTGTCAAGCAGTTTACCTGCATTAGTTGGCTCCACTTTCGCAAAGAACTGATAACCGTTGGGGAATTGAACCCGGGTCGTCCGTTTCACAGTCCAACGCTTTACCTATTGAGCTAACCGAACGGCTTTTAATTTTAAAGGCAGCTGTGCTTAATTGCTTTATACTTAATTTTTCATTTTGAAATTTCAAGTGTACAAATGAACATATAACATCTTTATATAACATTATCTATACGACGTGTAGTTTAAAGTATATATACTTATTTAATCAAGGACTTACATTCAAGGCAAGCATTGGCGTAAAATGTTTTACAACTTTTTCTTTTCCTTTGACATAACGTAGTGGACACTGTAGATACTTGAAGTTGTAATGGACCTAAAATGGAATGTATAGATTTTCATGACCCTTACGATAAGTGACAGTTATGAGATAAGTTATTATAGAACAACATGTATACTAAATACGTAATTTTGAATAAATTCTCATTAGCCGTGTTTCATTTAACAGTATGTTTTCTTGTAGATGAATCCCTTGTGCAATAAATCACAACAAACGTGTTATACTGTATCCGACTTGCATTATTTGAGAAATTGTGATCTAGCGACTAATTCAATTATAAACTGGCTTAATCTCAGCTAACAACAGCATCACATGTTTTATACTTTGAGGACAATTAGTTATTATTAAATGAACTCACTGATAGATCTGGACTCCGCCTGTCATGATTGGAGGTTGTTCTACACCTGTCAAGAGCAGCCTATGTATAAATAAGAAAATCACTGTGAAATGTCACTAAAATGTCACTGCATAATAATATAATTTATGTCACCGCAACACATATTCATGTCACCGCAAAACATATACATGTCACCGCAAAACATACACATGTCACCGCAAAACATATACATTTCCGTACAATATACCAAAACAAGATTTAATCTAAATAAGAGAATAACTTACTAATTAACAGTTTCATATTGTAGCACATTTACTTTTTATGACAGCTCTTTTATAAATTGTGTCAAAAACAGAGGACAAAATATAAGTTCGTCATAGTTAGTATTGAACCTTTGAGAAATTCGACATTCGAGGAAAATAGCAACAAAAGAGAGTAATTACCATGCAAGCATCAGGTAGACATTGTACAAGACCGTTCATTGGTGTACCAAACTCCTTTGAACACAATTTCATAACCTCCTCCCACCTGTAACATATCAATTATTCTATATCAATTACTTTTGTTAAAATTTGCTATATTTGTGTTCGACTCAGAAAGAATAGACACAATATATGGTTACAAAGACTATGGAATTAGTTTTTTGTTAGATAAGAATTAATTATCTATACTCTACAGTGAAACAAGTTAGCAGTGTTTACGAATCTGGGTTCTTCAGGAAAACTAATTTCTAAATGTTGGTGGACTGCATTCGTAACGGATACATGTAGTCTTTGTAACATGTGGTCTGTATCTTACATAAAGCAATCCGTTCTCTTGCAAAAGAGACATAAATATATGTTCTTTTCGTTGCAATATAGGCACTGATTTTGTTCTCCCGCCAAGTTTATAACATTTCATAAATGTCCAATGGGTTAGTAGTGTAATAATAGAAATTAAATGAATGTACTAACGCAAAGCTTAGTATATGTACAAAAAATGTTAAATGAAAATAAGACATCAAGTTCTGTTCTCGTAACAATATCCATGTAGGTCTAAATATTGAAAGCAGTTTAAAACGCATTAACAATGTTTTTTTTTACCTATCATGTCTTATCACAGAAAAAGCAACTTCCGTGTGTCTGTCTCTAATCGCAATATCCATGAAAGTATCGTCTGCCGTATTGCGCGTGAATTCAGCGCCAACTGTCATCAGCAATTCTACAGCAGACGGATGATTTTTACGGGATGCCAGATGAAGCGCCGTATCCTGTAATTGTCATACGTTGTATCAAAATATGATTGCATACCAAATTATCTAAATCAACATTTGCTTTCTTAAAAAAAAAGAAATACAAAACCACTATTGAAGATATCACAGTATTGAGAAAACATTACTAAAATTTAAAACATATATTGGATATATTGAAATATGTGCACAAACCTTGTCTTTATTGCAGCAATCTAAAAGGTTCGGATATACAGTCAATAACAGCTTCATACTCCTTGTATACCCATTGCTTGCAGCCAAATGAAGCGGTGAATTGTCCATGTTATCTCTAAATGAAAAAAAGCATTGATGAACAAGCAGTGTAAATAAAGAACATATTTATCAATATTATGCCAAGCTGTCTCATTATATGTAAGGCATATATTTTTTTAAGTTAATCTTAATATAAAATTAACCTTCCTCAACATTTATCTAAATGAGAAACAAAAGAGTCTGTATATAGGTTATGAAATTTTATAAAATCCAATCAAAACGCACTTTTGTATTTTACAAGTGCATGCTTATTATCTTATCAGAACGAACTTTTATACTGCTGAAAAAACTTTGAATCCGTACCAGGCCATGCCTTATTGAAGGATGCCTGAGTGTCTTCGCCAGTAAAGCCTAAAACTCGCCATATGATGTTATTACTAAAATCCAACAAAAAATAAACCATACTTACTTCGTAACGTATGCTCCTTTCTGCATTAAAAGAGTGATAATCTTAGTATGTCCATTTTGTGAGGCGATATGTAGGGTAGATAGACCATCCCCATCCGTCTCATTTATAATGTTTGGGCCCATCTCGCTGTCCAACAGTCGCCTACACGTGTTGTAACGGCCATACCTAGAAATAGTACATACTCAGTCATAAATATAACCCAATGTTAACAACTTTGAAAATTGAAATTGACTGTATATAGAAGTGTTATGCATTTCAAAGTATTCATTATATACAAGTACTAAGAAAGTCGATCATTAAACAAGTCATTCATCTAATACAATATTTTTAGTAAACAGTCGGACACATTCGACAAGAAAATATTTCTATCAATTTAAAATGCATATTGTTATCAAATTTTTTGCATGTGGCCAAGGAAAACCCAGGATATAAATTGTAACTGATTTAAAGACTTGTTTCACAATCGTATCTTATTTTCGCCGATAAATGGTCCATGCATTTAGTTTATTTAAAGTATTGTTTAATCAAACATTATTGTATTGTATAGTATTGTTAAATCATATACCTTTATCAAATGGATTACGTTCATATTGGGTGAGGATAATGTTTATATTTTTGTAAGTAAATTCATCTATGTACCAAAACGAAAGTCATATACGTAATACATTGTATACCAATTATGCATGTATATTTTAATAATTTTCATAACGTCATACTTGGCTGCAAAATGCAGTGGAGATTTTTTGTCATTGTCTTTAGGGTTGATTGTTGCCCCCAGTTTTATGAGGTCGTCAATGGCAACAAGATGACCCTCTTTGGAGGCATAATGTAACGGTGTACATCCAAAATTGTCCCGTTCATTTAACAAGTTCTTTAAGTCCTGCAACGCGAAAAAAAATTGCAAATGATGTTTTGATGTCCACTGAAAATAAAATTTTATCCGCTTTAATAAAATAAAAATAATATATTAAATAATCTTTATTGGTCTTATCCTCAGTACATAATTTCGTTCTTGAATAAATAACATCACATTTAATTATATATTATAGGCTCAAGAATTTCAAAGCAAATGTAGATTTTTAAGTAAGATATCATTTATAATAAGGTTATTTTACAGAGAGCCAGGTAATTATTTCTTTCTCATCGGTTATTTCTTTTTTGAGAAAGTTAGAATGTCACTGAATAGTAGGTTAAACAAAGAAAAAAATGTCAAGTACGGTATAACTGAGCTTTCGTCAACAGTAAGTATGGAACACACTTAACTGTAAAAGTGTTACTTTTTAAGTAAATATGAATTGTCATGATAAAATGTGAAGTGTGAAAATACACTTGACTATTTGACACGTTTGAATGAGCCTTAATTTTTTTATTATCCCATTAAATTTACATTTGATGCAATAAAATAATAAAATGAAATGAAGCTTATTATATAAAACGAGATGAAAACACTTCAAATATTTGAATTTGCATCATATCTCCTGAAGGGTATTTTAGGTGTTTGTTATCAATTTAGCAGATTTATTTCATGTTTGTACGATGATAATTTTATTTACGATATGTTTGGAAGTTTGGTATTTTACGAAGTGGATTTTTTAAAATCCGCCACCTTTACATACACTTAACGTTAGTTGCGAGGTCAAGATAAACATAAATACCTTTAAAACAGCACAACCGAAGCTGTCAATTGGCACACCATATTTAATAGCCAGATGAAGAAAGTTTCTATTTTCCTTATCTCTAATTTTGATGTCTGCATTATGTTTTAGAAGAAAGTTCACAGTTCTCCATCCACCTTTAGATGACGCTAGAAGCAATGGTGTCCGTTCGTGTGCATCTTGTGCATTTATATCAGCATCCTTAAATAAAAGAAACGTTTGGAGCTTTAAGATAAACTCAATTTTAAAAAGTCAAATCCAGCGATTTTAGATTCGAAGAGTTAACAGAAAGATTTATTTAAATCTACAATGATCGTGTAAATGTATTTATCTGTAAAATTTATGGCTTGTATTTAAATAGAAGAGCTGCAATCTTACATGTGCTATTAGAAATTCCACTACAGAGACGTGGTCAAACAGTGCAGCTCTATGTAATGGTGTCATTTTAAGGACATCTGGTGATTTAATTGCAATGCCGAATCTCTCTGGCTGCATCTCCTGCATCATTCTCACCATGTCAATGCTGCCCTGGGCACACGCAAAGTGCAGGGGTGTAGAATTGTCCTCCTAAAACAGTAGTTTGATTAGTATTAAATAGTGTAAAAATTGGAAAACACAAATTTTCGTTAACATTCGTGCGTGAGAAGCATATCCTTTTTGAATGACTTATGCAATTTATCAAGTTGTAGTTATACATGGAAGAAGTATAACAGTTTATAGTGTAGATAAGCTGAGCACAGAAAATAGAGAAAAACGGAATCCCTAACACAGCAAAATTGAAAATGTTACATGCTCGGTTTGATTGAGCCTGTTCATGGACGGTACTGAGAAGTGCAAGTTACCGTCCCCCCACCCCCCAGCACTGGCTTAAGCAGAATTCAACATTTAAACACGAAAATGGTGAAACTTTGAATTTAGAAACATCCGCAAATGTGTTCATACGGCGGTTATCATGGAACCTTCAATATGACACAGTAGTGCCATTCGATGAAAAGCGGTGTATGGTCCCCAAGTTAAAGAATGCGTGTGTCCTAAACTAGAAAACAATGGGCGTAGTTAAAAAAGGAAATTTTGAAAGGGGATCTGAGGTTATGAAGCCTGAATATCACAAACAAGACGTCAAAAGACACGTTTAAACAGCAGGTAGCATATCCTAAGGGTGATTATACAGCTTTCAAGTAGGAATACTGTAACCACCAATGTTGAAAAAGGCCAAATTTAGTTTAAATTTAAGTTTAGTAAATGTAGAAATTTGAATGCCAGAGAATAAGGAACATATTTTACTAAATCGTAAGGAAAACAACTTGATTGCTACAAAAATATGGTAAATTACAATCTCCTTCGACTGTATACAGAAACTTCCTTCCATAGCAACTCGATCAAGTTCGGTCATTTTCTTGTTTTTCTTTTCAGATTTTTATACTTCTCAACAGCAGGTGTGTGGCAATCGTAAAAAGTTGCCCCATACTTCATTTCAGTATTGTTAAATTGTTTTCTGGTCGATTCAATCACGGTCGTGTTAAAGTTTGAATACCAATTAAACCGGTGTTAGAGGGCGATAGAGATATTGCATTTTTTCATTATCTCTTATGAACAGACTCAATCAAACCGAGTCCACTATTTTTTATAGTAAATTGTTGTTTTTATTGCCTCCGAGGAATCAAGCCTTTTCCAGATTTTGATAAGATTGTTAAGGACAATTTTTGTATGTAATGCAAACAGCCAAAATGCTTTTTTTAATAGAAGCGAAATATGTGTATACAATCAACTAAAAGGACAAAACAGTACCTCCAATGTGTTGTGACTAACCTGTTTGGCATCAACAGGGGCACCTGCTGATAGACACACCTTTACAGCCTGAAATATTATCAGATATATGAATAATTCTTCATATATAAGATATAAACAGATATAAGTATATATATATAGCAAACTGTTCACTAATATTGAAAAAAATAACAAACATTTAAAATCTATTCACTTACATATAATCAGATACTTATAATAGTTTGATATAATTAGATATTTCGACGTTAAATTGTTGTTTATTAGAAGTATGTAACAGCCTGTTGTTTATCATTCCAATTTCTCCTAAATAATCAACTAAAAAAGACTGGAAACGCAAATTGCCTTTTGCAAGTGCATTTCCGTGTAATTATATCAGTTTCAGAAATATACTAGTAAACAGGAAAAATAAAAATGGTGCAACATTTACATAACAATCATTGAAACCCCATTAGATAAGTGATGTCCTCATTTATTCTTGAACATAATTACACCATTCTTAATGTTTGAACAAAATGACTTAACGATACAAAAGAAGTACGTATTTACATCATTAACGAACATTTTATTTCCATGTTATATTTTATTATTAAACTAATCAGGTATAGACTGGTATACACTACAATAAATCATTGACAATGCTACCTTGAGATCACCACTATTGACAGCACAATGTAGCGGCATGTTGTTTTCTTTGTCGGTGAAGCTTAATACGTCCTCTCTTTTATAACCTAAAGATTCCACTGAAATATACATGTACATAAGATATATTACGTACACTGATAAAAAATTGCCTAATGATATAAATAATGTTTTGCAAGACCTGATCGTGTTTTAATACATGCTTAAGTATTTGACAAGTTACAATGTGTTATAAACATACACCGATACATTTATTCAACATATGCGAATAGAATGTTCATAAAAACAATATTTTGTGAAATAAGGTTGTAAATCTTACCATGTTTAATTAGAATTTCTAAAGTTTTAGCAGATGCACATTTGCCGGCTATGTTAATAGGAAAGAATCCATTGTCACATTTTATACACGGCTTTGTTCCATGCTCAAGCTAAATGAATATAAAAAGAAAATAAATTATAACACTAATATTACAAAACTGTCTTTGAATTGGTCATTTATTGTCAAGAATATTTTTAAAATATGTAGATAGTCATTTATTAAATATATTTATATTTCTTTTGTAATCTTTGAAATGTTATTCACTGTTATTTTACTGAAGTATTAGAATACAACACATGTATATACCAGTATAACAGCACACTCATCTCTGTCTTTGTATGCACAGTAATGCAGAGGCCGCATACCACCTTCACCCTTTAAGTTGGGGTCTACATTTGCATGGGCAAGTAACGCCTGAAAATAAAAAACAAACGTATGTCAAAAGCATATTTGAGCCGTGTCACAACAAAACCAACATAGTGCGTTTGCGACCAGCGGATGCGCGGGCTGGTCTGGATCCATGCTGGTCGCAAACGCACTATGTTGGTTTTGTCGTGACGCGGCTCATATTTTGTTAAATGAGTATAGTTCTTCCTTGACACAGTTATTGTTTTTTTCGACCAAGTATTTATAATTGTAGCGATCTTTATGTTTGTTAAAGGAAGCTGTAAAGCTACAGTAATGCTTGAATGGATTACATATAGCATAACGCTTGAAAGATAACTTTTATAGCTTCATGATTGACGCTATTTCTTAACCTGTTTAAATCTACTGTAGAGCTGTAACAAATTCTCAATTCGTATAATAATAATAATAATAATAATAATAAAGACTTTATTTAACGAGAGAACTCATTTGAACAAACATATCAATCTTCCATGAGGCCCTCAACAAGGAACAATATAAATTTAACATTTTCAAACTATTAAAATACATAAATGTAAAAACATACAGGAGATTATCAATTTGTATACATCAATGCGTGATAAAACCTCAAGTATAAGGTTTTAAAATGGTTAACAGATGTAGCAGACTTAATATAATCAGGAAGGCCGTTCCAAATACAAGATCCAGAATAAACAAAAGACTTACGAAATTGTTCAGTATTTGGTCTAGGGGTATAAAGTTGAAAATCAGATGATGAACGCAAAATGCGAGTATGAATATCTGATGATAATATGAAATTATTCAATAAATAGGAAGGCGCCTGATTATTTATTATTTTAAACATCATAATAGCTTTTTGAAAAACAACCCTCTGTGAAAAGGTCATCCAGCGGAGTTCAGAAAAAAGTTCAGCAGATGGAGTGTCATAATCTTTGTCTAGAATTAGTCTTGCAGCTCTCTTTTGGAACTTAATGAGTTTATCTTCTAGAAAAGACGTACAGTTACCATAAATTATGCAACAATAATCAAGATGTGGTAAAATATATGCATTGTAAAACATTTTACGTACAGGTATAGATATGAATAATTTTATACGTGATAATAAATGTAACAATGAGTTACACTTTTTAAGAACATTATCAATATGGCTTTGCCAAGACAAGGTGTTATTAATTGTAATACCCAATAATTTTTCTTCAGAGCTACAGAAAATTTGCTCTGTTTTATATAAAATACAAGGATTACTTTCATGAATATAATTTTGCTTGTGTTTTGAGGAAATATACATGACCTTAGTTTTGTTAACATTGATAGACATGCGATTCAAATCACACCATTTGTTGGCATTTAAAAGATCATGAGTAAGAGATTCAACTACTCTGTTTAGGGATACATCAGAGGTTGAAAGGGTGGTGTCATCAGCAAAAATATCAGTTTCTGTTTTTTCCATAGACAAAGGCAGGTCATTGATATATATTAAAAACAGTATAGGACCTAGCACTGAGCCCTGAGGAACTCCAGTAGTTACTGAACTTGACTCTGAATATAAACCGGATATGTAAGTTTGTTGGGTTCTGCAATCTAAATAGGAGGAAAACCAAGCAACTGATGAAGGGTCTAGGTTATACATTCTAAGCTTTTCAATAATAATAGAGTGATCCACAAAGTCAAAAGCTTTAGAGAGATCAAGGAAAATTGAACCAACTATTTCATTTTTGTCAATAGCTGTAATCCAATCATCAATAATTCTAATCAATGCTGTTTGACATGAATGATTTGACCTGAATCCAGACTGACGTTGGTATAGAAGTTGATTTTTCTCAAGGTATTGCTTTAAATGTGAACTGACATGACGTTCAAGAATAAGTGATATCAAGGGAAGTATGGAAATTGGCCTATAATTTCTTTTATCACTTTTAGAACCCTTTTTATGTATAGGAATGACTTTTGCATTTTTTAATGATTTAGGAAATGTATTGTTAAGAATACTGTTATTGAATATAGTGGTAAGTATGGGAGCAATAATATGAGCCGATAACTTTAGAAACCTTGCACTGAGACCATCTGACCCACATGACTTTGTAATATCAATCGATTTTAATTGGTTCAACACATAAGAGAGCTCTATTTTAGGTATTTTGAAAGGGGGTATATGCTGAAGTTTAGATGCATTTAGTTCAACTAGCTCAGGGTTTTCATAACCAGTCTGATTAATGGTATGATGGGATTGGTGGAGATTCACAAATTGTCTGTTGAATAAATTTGCAGTGATTAAAGGGTCAGAAACCGGGTTGCCATCATCATCATCAATAAAATGTGTTTGAACCTTGGATTTGTAACCAGATAATTCATTTAGACCAGTCCATAATTTCTTTGGGTTGTGTTTGTTTTTATTGATGGTATCATTATAATATTGTCGCTTAGAATCATATATGAGAGACTTAACGTGTTGTTTCCATATGTTGTAATTATATGTGTCATTAACCCTATGAAACTGGTGTTTTGTTTTAATAGCATCGAGGATGTTTTTATTAATCCAGTTTGGTTGGGTGACCTTCTTTACTCGTTTTTTTCTGGTTGGTGCATGTTTTTCAAGGACAGACAAAAATTTATCAGTGAACAAATCTATAGAGTTATCTTGATTTTCTACAGATGCTACTTCTGACCAGGGTTGCTCTGACAATTCGGTTAAAAATCGATTTTCATCAAAGTGTTTAAGAGACCGGAAGGTTATTGTCTTATGCATGGGACCTTTAACACTGATATTTGAAAGTTTGCGTGTAAGACAAATTGGAAAATGGTCACTTATGGATAAGGAAGGTACAAAAACATCGACTATATTTTGAGGCATGTTTGAAAATGCATGATCTATCAATGTAGCAGAGCTTGAAGTTACTCTGGTAGGAGATTCAACAAGCTGAGAAAAATTTACAGACTGCATTAGATCTAACCAAGATTTAGAACAATTATCATGCTTCAAAATATCATAGTTAAAATCTCCAATAACAATACATTCTTTTTCCTCTAAAAATGATTTTTCTAAGGATATAGCAAAATTATTAAGCCACTCAACTTTAGAAGATGGTGGTCTGTATGCATAACACAATGATAATGATATACATTTAGGCTGTTTAAGTTCAAGCCAAATGGATTCAATAGAAATACTTTCTAAATCAGATCTATGTACAAAAGATAAACAGTCTCTAACATAAATAATTAAACCGCCTCCATTGGAAGGCCTGTCCTGGCGAAAAAGTGTAAAATTGTCCAACTGTAGTTCATTGTCTAGTATCTGGGTAAAATAACAATCATCCTATTCAATTTGAAAGAACAAGGACTGATATTTCATTATTACAAACCTTTAAAGCTTTCCTGGCGTTTACATCCACGGCAAGATGTATTGGGGCAAGATGATCATCATTCAGTAGTGTACTGTCCGCACCATGGTCAAGAAGAAACGTGACAACAGCTGATTGGTCATTCTTTACCGCTAAATGTAGCGGCGTGTTGCGATGGGAGTCAAATGTATTAAGATCTGAAGTTTGAAGTAAAGAAAACATTACAGACAGTATTAAAGCTATATTTAGAATTTAAAGCCCATGAAATTTGCAGTTTTGCATGAGATACGATCATTTATTTCGACATCAATAATTTTATTTATTTAAATTTTGGAGGGGGAGGGGGCGGGGTGTCTATACAAACCTTTTCTTAAAATAAAGTGACATAGTTTTTTTATGTTTTTTTTTTTGTTTTGTTTTGTTTTGGGAAATGAATATTACCTCCGCCCTTCTCGTGTATGAATTCAAGTATTTTGATCCGCCCTGCTTCCGCCGCCTTGTGGATAGGTGTATTTCCCTTTGCATCTTTTATATGGATACGATTTGTGTCACTTTCATACAGACGTTGGAACTCTTCAAGATTACCTTTAGATGCAGCCTGTAATAGAACAAAAAGATATTCTCAGTGCATCTACAGTTCGCTTATGTTTATAGAATCAATATCTTTAAAGAAAAGGAAGCATTTAGCTCTCTAATAGTCCAAACCACTTTCAATCACAGCAATAATCGTGCGGCTTTTCTAGTCATAAACAAATGGTACTTTTATACATATCTGATGAAAAGGAAGTCATTGTTCTTAAAAAATCGTTTTGTTTACTGCGTTTTTACTGGGACATAAGATAACTTAAGTTATCTTATGTCCCAGGTTTTTATAACTAAATAAGCAGTTCTGATTCTTTTCTTTTTATCAAAGGTTATCATATAATCAATACATTTATTCATTTATAAATTCATTCGGTTAGGATGCTTTGTAAGTAATGCTATAGTATGCATCTTTTATAACAAACGTTGGTTATTAACAAGAAAAGAAACAAAGAAAACTTGTAATAAATCATTCCATGGCTGTCAAAAACAAAGGTCGATAGCTCCTTTGGCTTATTCCTAAAAGAATTGGTGGAATATTGACCGTTGGCACCACACGCAACTATATCACATTTGTCGAATAAGTCTTAAAGTATGTACATTATAAACAACCGTCACTGACAGTGGCTCAAGTGTCACAGAAACGTGTACATTTAACAGGTGCTCCAGAATTAATACGTAATAAGTTCAACTGAGTCCAACTCGTGCAACAAGTTTTCATGTGATGAACGCTTGGCGAACCACTATTAAGGAAAATCACTTATTTCAAACATTTTAAATCGACTTCTTCTCTTCATAGATCAGTGTTTATATGTAACATATTCCGACAGCAACAATGTTTGTAATATATTTTTGGTTGTTTTGTATAATATGCGTGATGAGATATACATGTATATAGCAATTACATTGTATATCTATATAAGTGGAAAATTAAGTTCATACACATTTAAGACACAATTATGGCATATAAAATCTTAAAACATGTATTTCAGTTCTATTTAAAAATGCAATTAAATGACTTAATTTGTGCTATTTACTCCCCGTCATTCTTGTGATTACTTCAATTAAAATTTTAATAAAAATAACGATTTTCCATTTGTATATCTTATGTTTGATATATTTATCAACAATTTATATTACTTACACTGATAACAATTCTTATATCAGTTTCTGAAAATATTTCCGTAACACATTTGTTTTCCTCAGTAGGCTTTCTACGTTTAAAAACATTTAAAGATAATTTCCGTTTTATTTGTATGTCTGAATCATGGTTGATCGTATTAGTTGACTTGCACGTTTTACACAGTAGATTAATATTCACGTCGTCTCCAGATAATATGTTAGTTTTCTTCACAGACTTTGACGAAAATCTACTTGTCCTTCTCTTCCCAAAGTTGTCGGACATTTTGTCGTTCGGTGGTTATTATGTTTTGTTTTCTCAAATCATGTTGAAGGTTCTAAATTAATACCTTTACTATATTGTTCTGATTTAAATCCTTTTCTACAATAATATCAACATAAACCGGGTGAAATAGAGCGTGCTACTAATCTCGTTTGATTTGCAAGCTTGAACAGTTTAATGTAGTTATATTTAAACATTATACTTCTTCCTTCACGATATTTTTTCTTCACAAAATGTAAAACCAAGTCAAGTAACTGTCTGCAATATTGCTGAGCAACTCACTTGCTTTATGGAATGCAAAAACAAATGAAGATTTACTATTTATTTTATGATGAAATAGAACAATATTATAAGGTTAAACAGCCACTGTTCAATGGATAAAAGAGATGTTTTAAAAAGATAACCAATACTTTTGAAATATATAAAAGAAAAGAAAAGATATTACGATGTAATTTTATAGCTGGATTATTTTTATTTTGAAAGTTTTATCTTAAAAAGTAAATAAATGCTAATAGTTAAACAAACAATATTTCTTGTTTGGGGTTAGCAAGATTTGTAAACCAAAAGTAGTAGTAATACGATTTAATGACAAATAAAGACTGTTTTTTGTTTAATTTTATATAGAATGTCTGTATTTCCTATTCTATACTTTTGCTAGCTGAAATGTTTGAATTGGACTAACAGAGAATATTTGTTTATTTTTGATTCTTTTTCTTTTGTTATCATTTTCTCATTTTTTTCTTGTTATCGTCAAACATATTTCGAGGATGTGATTACAAGGACGAACTTATACATTGTAGGGTAAGGTAAATCCATAAAGGAATGTACAGATATAGTCTTTAACATAGAATGATATAAACTGTCTTTGCTGCTTCCTATAGTTATAATATTGTTGATGGAAATGTATTGATTACAGTAATACAACTATTTAAGGAAGAATTCAAAGTGCACAAAACAAAACACAAGAATGATCATAACAGGAAATAATTGTAGAGAATCTATAAATTAAATCAATAAATGCCTTAAACTGCCGAATTACAGTTGTGTTTCTCACTAATGTTTGTGAGGTGTAACGTTGCCATGGTCCATGTGATAAGAACTGGTTCTAATCACTGGCATCAATTTATACCTCCTTATCACTCACTTTAATCATTGATGAGGGGCGAAAATATATAACACAGTTAAACATAAAAAAGTATGAATCTACCATTTAAGTTATTTTATCGTAAATATACTATGTTCCAGACTATACACACAACAGAATATAACAAAAAAAACAAACAAAAAAAAAATATACACCAATATTAAAAATAAGCCGTAAAAATAAATAATGATAGTAATACTTAAAGGAATAAAAAAGCAAAACTATAAAAATGTGTTTTTTATTTGTGAATGTTAAAGCATAGACTGAGATATAAATGAACATAATTAAATTTGTTGCATTGTAAGGAAACAACATGGGCTTTCTGTCTCTTTAAAGCCCGACATATTTCAACGAAGTGATTACGGAAATAATTCATAATAAAAGTAATTATAAACACGTTTAGAAACATGTCCGATTATGTCGAGAATCAGTGATTTAGAATTTTTTATATCATTTCCTTTAGTTTAAATGCTGTTAACTGTTCTGTATTGATTAAGCTAATACAGTTATTTCAGGAAGAATTTGAAGTGCACAGAGCAAAATACATGTAGATAACCGATGATTGCAGAAAAAGGGCCGGGATGTGGATCTGTCATATAAATTATTAAATGCCTTATATTTCACAAGTAAGAAGACATATATATGATGTATTGCCCGGGATAAACCACATGGTCAAATAAAGTTCAACTAGCTATCAGCTAGAATATGTCTATATAGATTAAATCAGAATTCTAGATTTTTTCCCATAGATTCATGATTAGTTCATAAGTATAGCGTCTAAAAAGATCCAAATGTTTAAATGATTGCATCATTATTCTTACGTATCAGATAGGATGGGTGGATTTGTTTGTCAGTCTATACAAATTTATGCTTGCAAGATATTTCATTTTCATTAATTCAAGTCTCCTACATGTATATACAGTATCACAGTCTATATTGTGTTCTTTATCTATTGATGATATCGAATCGTCTTACCATTAAGATGATTAAAATCTGGTTTAACCATTAATAAAGTATGTGTTTTAATTAATTCTATTATTCACAGATGATATTGAAATATGTGCCGATTACGTTGAAGATTTTCAATCTAATATAATTATTTGCGCGAATATTATCACAAAATGGGATAACAGGTTCAACACTGCAAAATCAAAATTGTTATTTGTAGAAAACTAGGACCAGATAGTAGGAAGGATTATTTACAATGAACAATATTGAGAAAATTATAGATTACCTCAATTATTTGAAAGCAATTTTATATATTGTTTTGTATTTTTGTTCTGAATATTAATTGTCTAAGGCAAATCATTCAGGGATAAGCACATATTGTTAAATATATGAAAAGATATAACATGCCTCAGGACAGTTCATTTCACATTTTTGATGCATTCGTTGGATCAATATTGAATAATGGCCGTCCTTTATTGTTTTTAATTGAATCTTTTGAATCTGGATGCATCAATCTTCTTCTTGCAAATCCATTTGAGATGCAATTAAAAAAGTAACGTAGCTAAATGCGTCGAACAATTGTTATCCAAAACGTATTATCATGTTTTGTACGGTAATTATGGACTCAGTAAAGATTGTTTATTAGAATCGTTTTATATTAAGGCCTATAAAACTCAATAATATAATGGTAAAATTCTGGTTGTCCATGTTAAATACTTGAATAATATGGAATCAGCCGTGTTTTTAAGAATTATTTTAAACTAGTTGCCTATGTGTAACAGATGGCTGTAATAGATTGTATTAGACAGAAATAATTTGGTGATATTGATTAAAGAGTAATATTTGAAAACCTTGTATATGAATTTAAGTCTCGGTATAGCTGATAACTTAATTAAAATAAATGCGTAAAAATTACGCAATACCGTCTAGATTGCACATTTCGCCGTATACTAGTAATTCGTTTATAGAAACTCTAAGACATGGACGAACTAGAAAGCCAAGATTTATCGAGTTTGACAAACAATATTATGTTTATAAAATTTCGTGTTATATTGTTTATAACATCCAATAATTTATTTATAACATTGTATGTCGTTTTGATACTGTGTAAATAATACATGTGATGTTTTATATAGTTAATTATATACATTTTGTACCCACATTACATGAATTAATTTATCTAGTCGGTCTTTACTGTATATTAAAGTTAGCCAGTTTCATGTCGTTAAAGCTTCTTTAAATTGTTGAATGAATATAAACTTAAATTACATGCATTATAATGAAATAAATAAATAAATAAGTAAATTGTTTATTATAGCGAACTGTACATTGTCAATTACAAATGAGTACAGTTATAGCACCCAGCCAGATGTATCTAAAAGTCAGCAAATTAATGATTTCATAATGCATTATATAAAAATAGAGTGTAGTTTTAATGGTATAAACAATTATAAAGTGAGGTGGTCCTAATCCGAGCTCGTAAATCATTATAATGTTGTTTATGTCAGAAAATATATTGCCTCGACGTGTCCAGTCCTTTTTTAAGGTAATACATATTTCAGCATGTCTATCTAATTGTAACAATGTCTGTTTTGGGTTTTTTTTTGTTTAAAGAAAACATCGTTTTGGTATATGATAATTATTCTCAATAACTTTTCAAAAGGAAAAAAACTAAATGGAAAAAAGAACAGACATGCTTTGAAACCAGCGTTAGTTTGATATTTTTTCAAAATATAATCTAGTATGTCCGTATAACGGAATCATTGACACTTACTTTTGCATCTTTATCAAAAGTGTAACCGTATGAAAATGTAAAACCTTCGACTGGTTCAATATATACAGTTATATTTCTATACAACGACAATATGTGGAAACGGAGGTCTTCTTTTACAAATACAAATAAAACTAAGCTAAAAAATTTGAATGGTAGATTTAAAAAAAATGAAATAAAACTATTTTGAAAGTAAAATTGAAAATCACTAACTAATGCTTAACCTATTTTTGTAAAAAGATTGTATTTGAATTAATGCTATTTATGTTAAAAAAATAGAAGTTTTGTAGATGTAAAGACATGGTCTTATATATGTTGTGTTCTTCCGTAGAAAATAATAATATTATTTTAATATTTGTGGGTAATTTATACTTATACACATTATAAATTGAACACTATGCACAAATTGCATCAATCAATTAATTTCAATGTATAACTAACTAATAAGGTGCAACCGAAATGAAAAAAAAAATCATAAATTTAGATTTTATCTTGTTTGATTGTTTTACTTAATGTAAAAACCAAAATTAATAATATATTAAAACAACTAATACAAATCATGTCCATAAACATGCCACTTTTACTTTGATTCGCACGTTCTATTCATCAAACCTTTTTTTGTAATATTTTTTCTGTAGTTTTTATTTGTATAAAATATACTTTTCGATGTAACAATATCACTTACTTGATTCAATCTTTTCTGAGCTTTCTTGTCCTGTATATTGTTATTATATTTCTCCTTAGGTTTCTTCAACCCTTCTTCTTGTACACCCGTAGTAAAAATAGTATAGTTCTCATCTAAACTAAGTTCTTTCGTTATCTTAAACATTTCCTTCTTTATTTTAACCACAATAACAATTTATTCGAAAATGAATAAAAAGCGACAAAAGTTATTGGTTATATATATAAGCACTTATGTATTGGACAAACAAGGCAGCAATGCTTGCCTTTACGACTATTGGAAACATTTTCACTTCAAACTGTGATCGTTTAAAGGGAGTTGACCACAGTTGTTATGGTGACAAATTTTGATGAAAGCAAATTAGAAAAAATTAGTTAATACAACATATTTATGATGACACACTCCAAATATTCGTGCCCAAAAGGAAGAAATGTTCGAATAGTTTCAAATGTATATGTAGATCCTGTGATTTGATAGTATAATATTTTTAATTATTGTTGCTGTTTATCAAATGATT